TCCCCACACCCACCATCCACGCCTCCCCACACCCACCATCCACGCCTCCTCACTCCCACCAGACCCCCCACTTACACACTTGTCCTTGAGCCAGTAGTCAGCCAGCGTTTATACACACATTGTCGTGATCTTACACACACACACACACACACACACACACACACACGTCAAAAAAAAAGCAGAAGGGTAACACAGAAAAAAAACGAGAATATTCTGGAAAAGTCAAGAAAATGGAATCATGGAAAACGTAAATGAAAAATCATAAAAGAAAAATGATAAAGAACTAAATAGAAAAAAAATGTAAAGATAATAAAAAAAAGAAAGAAACGGAAAAACACAAAATATCAGTAAAACAGAAAAAAGAAAAAGCAAATATTAACAAAGAAACAATAAGAACATTACAAACAAACAGACAAACACCACAATCCCTCACTATCACCACAATTCCTTACAACTACCACAATCCTCCACAATCACCAAAATCACCCACAACCACCACAATTCCCCACAACTACCACAATCCCTCACAACCACCACAATTCCCCACAATCACCAAAATCACCACTGTCCCCACATTCCCTTACAACCACTATAATTCTCCACAACCACTACAGTCCCCTACAACCATCACAATCACCCACAACCACTACAATCCCCACAATCACCACAATCCCGCACAATCACTACAATCCCCCACAACAACCACAACAACCACAACCACCACAATCACACACAACCACTACAATCACCACAATCACCACAATCACCACAATCCCGCACTACCACCACAATCCCCTACAACCACTACAATCTCCCACAATCACCATAACCACCCACAATCCCTCATAATCATTACAATCCCTCACAATCACCACATTCCCCCACATCCATCACAATCACCCACAATCACCACACAACCTCTACCCTCACACTGCCTCAACACACGTAAAGGCCAACTCATATACAAACTCGTCGAGAAAGATTGCCCAGGTTTTTAAGTGTTGTTTATTAAGCGCTAAAAATGGTCAGAAAAATCCTGAAAAGTTTCAGAAATATTCGAAATTTTTCAGAAACATTCTAAATATTTTCGGAAAGATTCCGAATTTTTCAGAAACATTAAAAAATTTCAGAAACATTTTGAAATTTTTCAGAAGTATTCCAAAATTTGAAAAATTGGAAAATTTTTCAGAAAGATTTTAATTTTTTTCAGAAATATTCTTAATTTTTCAGAAATAATTTAAATTTGGAGAAACATTCTTAATATTTCCATAAACATTCTAATTTTTTCAGAAACATTATAAAAAATCCAGAAACATTCTTAACATTTTCAGAAATATTCTGAAAATTTTCAGCAGGATTCTAAAAATTTCATAAACATTCTAAAAAATTCAGAAACATTCTAACAATTTCAGAAACATTCCAAAAAATTTCAGAAACATTCTAAATATTTTCAGAATAATTCTGAAATTTTTAAGAAATATTCAGAAAAATTTCAGAAACAATAAAATTATTCAAAAACATTCTAGAATTTTTCAGAAACCTTCTAAAAAATTTCAGAAACTTTCCATTTTTCAGAAACAATCTAATCATTATCAAAAAGGTTCTACAAAATCAGAAAGATAATGAAATTTTTCAGAAATGGTTTATGAAGACGTTTAGGTAGGTGTGGCCCAGTTAGAACTACATGATGCATTGTAGACGTAGACACAGACGTTGACACAGGTCGTTCTGGAAACATCACTAAACCCATCACATCTGTAAATAGTCAAGCTAATAATAACATGTTTTTGAAGTTGATCAGTTGTTTGTAGTAAACGATTATCTGTTGACATTTAACTTGGCAGGTTGTGAGCGGGTCCTTCCTCCTCCTCCTCCTCTCGTTGATACTTATTTAGAGTATTTCATTTCTCTCGTATCTGTAGCTCCTTGTATTCGTAAATTTATTCATATAGAACAATTTATCTCATTCTATTTATTAGTTTATGTTGTTATATTTGTTTTGTGGCTTCTTTTAACGTGTTTGGTCTTGGGCAGTAGCTGAAGTTGGGTGCCACAGAGGCTGACAGTAGTGGGTGCTGGTGCCAAAGAGGCTGACAGTAACTGGTGCTGGGTGCCATAGATCCTGACAGTAGCTGGCGTTGGGTGTCACAGAGGCTGACAGTAGTTGGTGCACAGAGGCTGACAGTAGTTGGTGCTGAGTGTCACAGAGGCTGACAGTAGTTGGTGCTGAGTGTCACAGAGGCTGACAGTAGTTGGTGATGAGTGTCACAGAGGCTGACAGTAGTTGGTGATGAGTGTCAATCACCTTAAAGCAAAATTCCTGGCCAGGGAAGAGTGACACACGGCGCTATATAAACCCACATTGTTCTAACGTCTTTTTGTCTCTCATCCAGCAGGTGGGGCCTCCTGGTGGGCTGGTGGGGTGGTAGAGCGGGTCTGGTGGGGTGGTGGAGTAGTGGAGTGGGTCTGGTAGGGTGGTGGAGTGGGTCTGGTGGGGTGGTGGAGTGGGTCTAGTAGGGTGGTGGAGTGGGTCTGGTGGAGTAGTGGAGTGGGTCTGGTGCCCGACACATATGTTGGACGGAGTCAGGAAGCGGAAGCCTTAAGGGGGCGGAGGCGAGGGGTCACAGGGGACCAAGTGAGGGGACAAGGGTGTAGGTGGTGACAGCTCCGGTTTTAGACGGTCCCAACACGACCCCTGAGTCCCACCCATTATCAAGGTCGTTGTGGTGGTGGTGGTAGTTGTGGTATGATGGTGGTAGTAGTGGTGGTGGTGGTGGTGGTGGTGATGGTAGTGTGATATAGTGTTGGTCGTAGTAGTGGTGATAGTGATAGTGGTGGGGTATGGTAGTACTGGTGAAAGAAGATTAGAGGTGGGGGAAGGAAGTTATAGTTCGGAAATTGAAGAAATTTTGGAGGAAGTAAGAGAGGGCGTGGTAGTGGTGTGAGGATTGGTGGTGAGAACAATGAGGGTGGGTTGATCCCATTAAGTCTTGGGAAAGTACACTCCACACTTGAATAATAAGCTATGAAATTTAGACAGCCAGATGCACGCTATCGTTTGTGTGTGTGTGTGTGTGTGTGTGTGTGTGTGTGTGTGTGTGTGTGTGTGTGTGTGTGTGTGTGTGTGTCACTACGAGTTACCATCTACATTCCAATAGGTAAAGTGATCAGGTTGAAGCTAGTTAACTATCCCACAGTACCAGACAGCGTATCTTCTCTTACTGAGGAACTTGGACGAGTTTGTGTAAGGGATAACTCTGCTCTTCCCTCCACATTCTTAATCTGTTCCTCCGCATTTAAAAAGAAATATACTGCTTCACGCTACTCGAGTGACTTTTGTATATATATATTTTATTCATTTTATGCTCACAAATATTGTTCTGTGTATAATATAGTAACTTAATAAAAGTAAGCTGCTGGAAGAGTAATTTTCGGGTACTTTCGCCATGTACTGTATATAAACAAAAGATCGACGACACTTGACTCCTCATCTCCGACTTGTTGTACTCACCTCGCAAGGATTGAAATGTAAACAGAAAAGCATCATGTTAATACGTACATAAACAACTGGTTATATATTATGAGAAACACTAATGCAGTAAATGTAAAAATATACAGAACCGTTTACAACATAGTCAAACTAAACGTAACCAAACTAATCCTAACTTGCCAAGAAGTCGAATAAGCAAAACCAGATTTAATTTATAGCATATGAGAAGATGTGTTATATTTTTCTTATATGCACAGTTCAGCGTCGTATTATAGTGTGAACATTAAGTAGCCAGAGACACACTATTAATGTCTCCTGAAGTGAGCCTCATTTGGCCCCTAAATATTCATCATGATTCAGTACGCTTTGTTTAATTCTGCACAAATTTAGTCAACATTGGACAGAGGTTATAGTCAATCAGCCAAAATTATTAACCAATTGCTACGAAATTTATACATGTGAAAGGTATCACTGATCACCATACTAACTAAGAATTCACTAAATATATCCACATGAGCGTCATTTATTTTTGCTTTATTTCATGTACGTAGAAACTATATTCGTTCCATATTTAAGGTGTAGTCTATATTCGCCATGTAGTGAGCATAAAGCCTTGCAAGTGGATATATCGAGTACTCTTTGCATGTAGTAAATAGAGCTCATATGGGCAGATATATCGAGTACTTGCTCCATGGCCTTGTGGGTGAAGGGGTATATACTGTCTCAAGTGACGAATGTTGACCGTATGTTTTGTCGCGGTGCCCAAGGACGGGATGAACTGCCAGCTTCTGTCGTTTTTATTGTTGTTTATAACCGTGACTGAAACATTACAATAGCTGTCTCACTCACGCTTCACATACTTCTGTCGTCTTATTCAGGTTATGATGTTGTTCTAGTAGGATAGACATTGATCAACTCGACGGGATTATTTTTTTATTATTCTCTTGTCCTCACGCCATGAATGATGAGCACACGACCATGTTACAAGGCGAGTAACTTAATCTCTTGAGTTTACGTGTGAGTCAGTCAGTTCTATTCCCTGACAGACACCACGAGATAGAGAGACAGAAACAGTAATGAGGTGAGAGACACATGAACAGAAACAGAGAAACAGCAACAAGATGAGAGACACAAACAGACAGACACACGGAAATACAAGTTAAACAGACAAAGAAAAAGAGAGAAAGAAAAAAAAGAGGACATTCGTTTATGTTTATCCAAAGAATGTTTACGCCATCTTATGTTTGTGTACAATAGTCAGACTGAAAATGAACTCCACTACCACGTGGCTCTGTACGCCAATAATAGTACATCCGGGGGACTTTGTGTTCCTTAGAGAAGCCACTTATGAGAGGGACACCCACCTGGAGAAGTTGTAGGGGTGTAATTATTCTGTAGGAGTCCACCTTGTGTTTGGGAAAGGGGTGAAGCTTATTGTGTGATATTAGAGATGTATAACTTGTTGGTTTTGTGTGGTGTTGGTAACTAAGAGGAGTGTGTTGCCCTACAGCGATGGGTATAGCTGGCTGGTGTCTGCTGGGGATGGCGACGGTCGCCTTCCTGGTGCTGTTGGTCATGTACATCGACACCGTCACCCACGTCATCCAGCACTGCCACGTCCCTCACAAGGAAACTACCGCCATCGTCCTCACCGTCTACCCGGTATGTACTGTATATCTACACAGAGGGATGAATATATAAATGCACATACATTCATACACACAGTACACACATGACAGATCGTAGGAATGATTGATAAGGGATATTGCCCATACTATAAATGTTGTATAATTATGTTTTATATTAATATGGGTCCCATGGGCCAGACGGCTCATTAAGGGCTGTTGTGCCAGATAAATAGACTGTTCCCGGACGTTGATGGCAGCCTTATAGTTGTTCTTTCAGTCAGTTAACAAATTCTTGAATGTTACAGGTGGTCGGGCTGTGTAGCTACCTGGGACTGCTGTTCCAAAAAGCAAACCTGTTCCTGGATGCGGCGGCTCAGCTATGGTTCGCTCTGTGTATGTGGCAGTTCTTCTGTCTCACTGTCACCTACTTCGGCGGAGAGTCGCGCTTCGTGGCCAAGATTAAGGGCACGGTGTTGCCCTGGAAAGGTCCTCCTTGTTGCTGCTGGCCCTGTTGCATCTGCCCCAAGACCACAGCCACTAAGTTAGTGCCTATTTACCAAAACAACTAATAATTGAAAGATTTTTTTTTACGTATTTTTGAGCAGTTGTCAAGTGTCTGGTCCCACTAAGAGTGATCCTCTAAACCTAATTACTGAAGTGCAGTCACACATTATAACTTCAGTATCTTCAAGGCAAAATTTATTTTATTAGTCTAAAATAAGATTAAAAAAAATCATGTTAAAGTCATAAACAAATTGAAAAGACCACGTCGACGCCATCATGATGTTCGGGCGGTGCTGAGTTACTCCTGGTATTGGTGGTGGAGGCGACCCTATCATTAACTAAATTCTTGATACAGCCTCTCTCTTGCAGACGACAGATCCGCTTCGTCAAGATCCTGGTGATGCAGCATCCGTGGGTCCAACTCATCGTCTCCATCTTCCAAGTCACTTTGTGGCTAGAGGGATGGTCAGTATGATACTGGGGAGTACAGGGGGGAGGGGCGAGTGATAGGAGTGGGGAGGGCGAGTGATGAGGGTGGGGAGGACGAGTGGTAGGAGTGGGAGGGCGAGTGATGAGGTGGGGAGGGCGAGTGGTGGGAGTGGGGACGAGTGATAGGGTGGGAGGGCGAGTGATAGGAGTGAGGGTGGGGAGGGCGAGTGGTAGGAGTGGGGAGGGCGAGTGGTAGGAGTGGAGTTACCTTCATGGTTGTGGGGAGAGAGAGAGAGAGAGAGAGAGAGAGAGAGAGAGAGAGAGAGAGAGATCAGTAGGTGTTGATGGAGAGAAAATATTGTCGTAAAATTGACCTCAAGTGTACAAATAGTGAGAAGATTACTTATATACCACTAATAATACCATAAACCATTGTAAGAAGCGTAATTAAAAGTGTTTATTTTATCATTATTCAGTTTAATAACACATTTATATGACATACCAGTGAGGTGGACATCATATAGCCTTTGGGTTGTGGTGATGTTCTTGCAGAGGCTGTGTTATTATGCCTTCCTGCCATTCCCTTAGGTACACCCACATGGACATGCGACCCAACAATGCCTACATCTACATCTATCTCTTGTCGACCTTTTCCTTCGGCTTCGGACTCTGGGCTTTCATCGTGGGCTTCAAGGCATCTCTCAGGCAACTGCAGGATTTCCACTACACGCCCAAGATTATTACCTTCCAGTTGTGTTTGGTGTTCCTCCGTCTGCAGGCCATCATCGTCAACTCCATCCTGGTGCCCAGCGGAGCCATTCCATGCCTCCCACCCATCTCACCCAGAGTCTTCGCCAATAGTGAGTTCCCGTTTTCTCTTGTAGCTTGTAAAGTATCAAGGGGTAACACGTACATAATAGCACCTTCTCTCCCTAAAGCGCATCCTATACTCAAGTAGGACTCCCCTTGTAGACGTTTTACGAAAGAAAGTATACAATGAGAAGGTTCTGAATTGCCTGTATACACACTTGACAACCTTCAGGTTACACAGAAAGAGAGAGACAGTCGTATGCAGGGAGAGTCACATAAAACAACACATTATAAAGAAAATAGATTTACTATATCAGCAGAAACTTTAAACAGTATAAATACAGATTTGTTTGGCATTAATTATCGTCTGACTGTCCCATCATGTTCATGGTTGGTTGGTTGGTTATACAGAGAGAAGAGAGCACTAGCTCTGAGAGTGCAAGAAGGGTACAGTACAAGGTAAAGTTCAGAAGTGGGAAATAGAGGAGGAGGTTAACAGCAGGTGGGCTATCCACCTTGCGGAGTTCATGTTCATAGAAATGTTAACAGAAGCTTAATATAAATATTTATTCCTCTATCCATCTAACATGGCTGAAATTATACAACTAAAATATCTTGGTAGAATTTTACTTAATGGACTTTTACTAAGTAGTTGGGAATTATTTGGCGGGATTTTACTAAAGAGGATTTTTTCACAGGTAGAATTTATCGGGGATGATTTTGTCCTCTTGGTTTTGTGTGTGCAGTAAGTTAACGAGTGCCTCCCTCCCTCCCTCCCCCACAGCCTTGCTCAACTCTCTCCTGCTGGGCCAGTTAGTGGTGCTCTCAGTGCTGGCCAGACACTACTACAAGTAAGTCCATCTTCCTCGTCCTGTTCTTTGTATTCTCTCATTATAATACCTGTATGCTTAGCTTATTTTAGTCATTTCATTTGCGAGACCATAAAAATAATAATAATAATAATAAACACGTACTAATGATGGAACTAATTCAAATTCATTAAACCAGCCAAGATATTATTTTTAAATAATAATAATAATAATAATAATAATAATAATAATAATAATAATAATAATAATAATAATAATAATAATAAGAAGAAGAAGAAGAAGAAGAATTAGCAATTCCTAGCCAACCAATCATTATACGTAACGAAAGCTGAAACCACGACAATAGATCACATGCCTTGAACCTTTTCACTAACCATTATAACTAAGGTGCATTCCTCCGCGTCTTAAACTGACTTCACCTTCAACAGATTGCCCACTCCAATGATCGTGCATCTTAACAACGTCTCCGAGAGTAAAGAAGAGGTAAACGGGAAGCCAGAGAAGAACCTCAACGATTTCAGTTCGGCTCTGGTGCCTAATGGAACTCCTACGATAAACGGCAAGACCCCAGGACTCCGAGAGGAAGGGGAAGGGCACCTAGTAGACCATAACGGCGACCCGGCTGTGTGATGACCACCATATTAGGGAAAACTATTGAAAACATTTAATCTTTTACATCTTCCCCTGAACAAAATTCGCTATAACTCTGTAAGATAACCTGGGCTGTTAACACGCCTAACTGTGTCAAGATTGAAGATACTGTATTCTATTTTAATCCCAAGATAGACAGACTTCAATTTACTGTGCCTGTAGAACGTTATCAAAGGGAAAGCAAATTTGTTTGGTGGATGGACACCAGCATTGGCTACACTTACGCTCATATGACAGTGTTGAAATATGACCATTTTTCTCTCGTCAGCCATTATTGTTGAGACCTGTGGAATATTGTTATTCATTTATTTTATGATATATGTATATATATATATATTTTGTTTTAATTTACTTTCTTAATTGAGGTCCATTGTTGCTGCTGTATTAGTGTGTTTAGGTATTTAACCCCCCATTCTGTCTGAGCTTGAAAACTAGACAATAAGTTTGGAGAATTTAAGATATTTTCTGAAGCGCAACATATGGAGTAAGATTTTAAAATAATTTTCTTCGGCATTTGAGCCATAACCAACGAAGTAAAGCATCTTGAAGAATTTATTATAGCTTTCAGTAACATGGCTGAGAAATATTTCTTTCCCTCATACACTTTGTTACTCACACATTATATTTTACCTGATCTATCTCTCTAGAGACAGTAGTATTATTGGGACCTACGGCTTATATTGTACCGTAGATACGAGGATTTAAATGTCTTGATTTTGAATGTTGACGTGATATATATATACACAGGATAAATATGACATAACTGTATATATTGTGAATGTCCATTGTTTGTGTATAAAGTACAAGAAATTATAAATGAATTATTGATAATCAGTAAAGTACCTGAACGCCTTGTACAGTGCTCGATGGTTATAAAACATCTTTGTGAGCACCATATTATAGCCAGACAATTATTATTAGTATTATATGATATAAACATGTAAGATACTTAATTTGGTTTATGTTAAAATATGTTGTTAAAATCCAAAAATCTCAAATTATTAGATACTAGATTTTATCCTAGTAACCTTACACGTCAGCCTTGAACGACAGATGCCTTGATGAATCTGGCAAATATTCTGTAGAGTTTAAGTTATACACATATATTGATGTTGTTAACTGACACACCAGTGTATATTGTGCCTTAAGCTGAATAAATATATCATTCCCTCACCACTTGTAGAGTCATATGAAGCATATTTACCAAATACAGGAAAATAAATCGCAGGGAAATGTCACAAATCTAACATAATTTAATCGAACTTTATCGAGGCTATATAAATTACCTTCTTTTATGAGTCAAAATGGTTACTTGTTGTGGTAATCTTTCCTTGTGACTTCTTTTTTCCGGACACCAGTTCACCAGCTGATCTGCATAAACAACGAATCAATTATTTTGTTTTTCAGATCTAATTTACCATTGTATCTCTCACTAGAACTATTTAATCTATGATGTTGTTCTGCAATTATTTTTCTTTGACACATTATATTAAACGATTATTTTAGTGAAAGATTAAAGGTAAGAGGAACCATAATGCAAAATATGTTACAAGAAAATAAGAAATACTACTCACACATACTGTGGACTTCATTCATGTAAAGTTCGTCACATTATAATACTCTCACAACAAATCATCAGTACATATTTGTTCTTTTATCTGTAGAAGTATTTATTGATTCAGTTGTATATATTGGTGCATTTGATTAACCTGTACGTCTTGTCATCATCTTTCGTTAATATGAAGTTCTCAATTGTGATCTGGGTTTTTCCCGTTTGTCAAATGATGTTTGTTTGAAATAAATGTATTCACTTTAAATTTGGTATTATTCGGATCTTTTATTTTGTTGTTTAATGGAAATATATGAAAATATTTACATGCGGACCCGGAGTGTAAAATAGCATTGGAGTTATAAATTCCTCTCTTATAGACCCTGTGTGTCTTTGTGAGAATTTAAATGAATAAATACTTATATGTCTACTAATTAAAACTTACGTAGTCGCTTCAAAATTCATCACATAAATAAACAAGACGGGACATAACTTGGCCATCTTTACATTAAATTTTGAAAATAAATCTGATACTGCCCATCCCATAAATCGGGTATTGTATATTTTATTATCAATTTCATCTATTGTCAATTAAATAAAAAAAAAAAACAATTAAAAACGCAACAACCTCGTTTATAAACACTGCCCACTAATGACGTCATTATCTGGACCAGTGAACGAAAGTCAGAATCTGGCCTCAAACACTGAACCAATTTACTCAATGATTTTTAGGTGATCAAATGAGTAATTAAGGTTTATTTGGAAAAGTGGTTAATCATTATTACTTTAGGTTGTTATTTTCTCATTGGTGATTTAGTCATAGAATTTTATCTTCATTAGTAAACTGGGATTCAGATGGTTCAGGCTTAAGTCTGGAGGAGTCGAGGCCTCACTCACACGTCTCGAAACTTCACAGCCCTTCTCAGTCTCTGTGTATTGCTGCTGACGGGTGCTGCTGCTGCTGACGGGTGCTGCTGCTATTGATTATTATTGCTGACGGCTTGGTAGTGCTGGATGATGGGTGTAATGCTTGCCGGTGGATTCTACCAGCTGACGGGTGTTACTACCACCTCAGAGGTAAAGTTGCACTCCCTGTAGCACTGGTCTACTTAGTTAACTTTATCATAAAATTCGATAAAAGTTTATTAAATGCATCCAGGGCAGTTTTTAAAGTTGAAGTTCGCTTTTATTAATTATCTTACGACCATAAATACCAACAGTTAACACTCTCGACGGCTACTCTGTTATGTAGTCCATTGATACTCCTTGGCGTGGCTGAAAGAGTAACAGTAACACGTTTATTTGTTTAATTGTACTTGTGAATCCGTATTTTGGCTCCCCGAGAGTGTTCCTGGCCTGTGTTGTATTAGTTAAAAGGTTTATTATTGATAACTATTGTTGTCCACCTTGAGATACGAACCTAAACGTTGATATATTGTCAGGTTATTGCTTGTTCTTGTTCTCGAGACCAAAACATTAAGAGAACATTTCTGAAGGTGTTGGCTGACGGTTTGTATTGGTATTTTATTAATTATTATTATTATTATTATTATTATTATTATTATTATTATTATTATTATTATTATTATTGTTTTTGTATTTTCGCCCCTCAGGCCCCGATGTGGGTCAGTGACCTGTGCCCGGGTGGGCTAAACCCCGTAAAAAAAAGAAAAATAAATAAATAAATTGAATACGGCATCACGAAGTAGGTTTTATCAGATTTGGTGATTAAGCAAATCGTAGTTTGGATGAAATAAATTTCACTTGGTTCCTGTTGACTGAAGTACGCATATACACAAACATTATTTCCTTCAATAATCCACACGGTTCACTTCCTCAGGGGAATACTTGTAAACAACTACACAAACAAGGAATTAGGAAACACAATATATTGGTGGGTTATATTATTAATTCACTACATAAGAAGATAAGCAGCTTAACAAGATCACCAGTGTTGAAGTTTTCTACATCAAAAGGTTCACAGGTGCACGATGCTGTGTGTGAAAGACGTTTGTCGTGTGTCTTTGAGTCCCTGATATGAATCTTTAAATCTCTCTCATATTGTTGAGCTAAAACTGCATAGAACGTTACTTTCATCCCAACTCATTGTTTTGACTGTCTCGTATTATTTTAATAAACTACTGGAAGGCCTCAGTGTGTGTCAACAACAGTTAAGAAAGAGCACGAAAAAATTTACGTAACTATAGAAAATGTATTACTATCATGAGTAACTAATGTAATAAATACTCGACCGAACAAGGTTGTAGGTCAAATGGGCCCCCAGAGCTGTTATCCCTCTATCATAACCCTTTAGATTAGGGTATATTAGGACTAGAATTATATCCACAGTTACAATAAATTAGGTTAGATTAGAGGCTATCAGAACTAAGGCCCATCTACAATCACCTTATAGTAGGCAGTCCTTAGGAAAATACACCGTACATAATATATTAATAACACTCCATTAACCACCAGATGTATCACACTCTGGGACATTATAGAGTGTTATATATGAAGTCAGTGTTTAGTAAGAGCCCTAAAACTTGAGACCAACAAAGATTCGTATGATGAATATTTGGATACGACACGCTACCTTAATTCTGTCTGGTTCGATGTGAATGTATGTAGAAAATCAGTCACAATATATATTTTGTTGCTATTGCTCTTGTTTGTTATATTCGAGCTTAAGTTGACCATTAGTTACGCCATTAGTTAAGAGGAATATTCACCATGCGAACCTTTATGAGTCCGGACTGAGCAAGAATTGTCAAAGATTTGCATGTTAAATATTTCCCCCGATTATGAGGATTTATCTGAATGTTGAAATATCACCACGACCATACTGTCCGTAACTAGATACGTATATATTTTTTTAATCTCGGTTATCAAAAAGAAGTCACATACGATTTTTTTTTTATTGAGGATCCGAATCAAAAGTTACTACAGTACAACCTCGTCTGAAATGATCATCACACAAGCAGCTGCCTCCACTGGATCAAATCTCACATGCTGTATATGTTGTGAATCTCAATGATGACTTAAAAAACCCGGATCACCTGAAAAGTATGTCACCAAATTAAACCTCCAAACGTTACCTGGAAGGAGTTAAGTTAGATTAGGGTAGGTGGCGTTAAGATAGTTTAAGTTAGGGTAGGTTAAGGTTAGGTTAGCGTCAGGTTGGCTAATCTTTAGGTGAATTAAACAAGAAGGGCCTAGTCGTCTTCAAGTGGTCCTATAAAACTCGGAACATCATTCACCTTCATCTAAATAAATCGTCGACCTTCAGAATCAGGTGACATTCGGTAACACAGACCTCGTGATAATTCTAAATAATCTGTAATGAATACAACACTGAATTATCCCTCATCATCACTTAAGAGTCAACTAAAAGATGCTGACATTGCTCTAGTTTAGATTTCACACACTCATCACCTCGTCACAACCTATATTAAGGTCTTCATACCTCACTTAAGACGGTAATTTTCATTAATTATAATTCGCTAAGACATGACATCACTTAAACTCTACTTCAGGATAAGGTTGTCATTAGCACTGCACTCTGGGATGACTTCAGGCTGGTGGTCCCATATTGGTCTTCAAGTCGTCATTCTGAATCAGCTCAGTATCACCAACACCGATCTCTTCCAAACTTCAAAATACAATGACCATGTTGTAGATATCATCAATACCCCATCCACCATCCTTCACTGACACCTCGATAACATCCTATAAACCCTATCTCTTAACTCCAATATCATCTTAAAGACTTAAATCGTCGTTGTCATCTCTCAATCAGCTAGGAAATGCTGACACCGATCTCCTTCAAGTTCCACATAATGATCATGTTGTGAACGTCTTCAAATACGATCTTGACGTTGTTAGTATCGGTGGCGGTGGTGAAGTGACAGTAACACTCCTTCGACGTCTCTTCCTCTAGCATCATCAACCCTGGGGCCAGCTTCCTCCCCTCCCTCGTCACCACCTGCTTCGAGATCGCCTGTAGAAGGACCAAAGGAGGAGAGTGACGGGTGGTGGTTGAGGTGTCGTATGGAAATGAGTATGTAGGAGGCATACAATGTTGGAGGCTGTTTGTACGATGTTGAAATTTTTTTAAAAGGTTGGAGGGTGTGTGTGTGTGTGTGTGTACACGGTGTTGGAGGGTATGTTTACAGCGTTGGAGGGTGTGTGTACAGTGTTGGAGGGTGTGTTTACAGTGTTGGACGGTGTGTTTACAGTGTTGGAGGGTGTATGTACAGTGTTGGAGGGTGTGTTTACAGTGTTGGACGGTGTGTTTACAGTGTTGGAGGTTGTATGTAATGTTGGAGGGTGTGTGTGTACAATGTTGGAGGGTGTGTTTACAGTGTTGGAAGGTGTGTTTACAGTGTTGGAGGGTATGTGCGTACAATGTTGGAGGGTGTGTTTACAGTGTTGGACGGTGTGTTGACAGTGTTGGAGGGTGTGTTTACAGTGTTGGAGGGTGTGTGTGTACAATGTTGGAGGGTGTATATAATGTTGGAAGGTGTGTTTACAGTGTTGGAGGTTGTATATAGTCTTGGAGGGTGTGTGTGTACAGTGTTGGAGAGCGTATGTAGTGTTGGTGAGTGCGTGTAGGAGGTAAAATAGTCATAGAGGCATGTGGAGGGTTATACATAAGTAGAGTGTTGGAGGTGCTTAACCCTTTGAGGAGGAGGAGGAGTTAACCCTTTGAGGAGGAGGAGGAGTTAACCCTTTGAGGAGGAGGAGGAGGAGTTAACCCTTTGAGGAGGAGGAGGAGTTAACCCTTTGAGGAGGAGGAGGAGGAGTTAACCCTTTGAGGAGGAGGAGGAGTTAACCCTTTGAACACGACGATTTACTCCACCAGGGCTCAAAGGGTTAACTCAGAAGCTATCATTTCATTCCATTGTAAGACTTTCCAAAATATTCCTTCCACAATTAAACTTTAAGTCCTACACATAAAATATAAGTGACTCATTATATACTTTTCTCATTGTTAACTTAGATGTGATGAGTTACTTACAATGAACTTGTCTCTGATGAAGCAACGAGTCCTCAAGTATTCCTCGTCTTCCTCACTGTCTCGATCTGTGGGCGAGGCGAGACACACTTACTGGAGAGATGCACTTACTGGAGAGATGCACTTACTGGAGAGATGCACTTACTGGAGAGATGCACTTACGGGAGACAGACATATTATCTGCTAAGGTTGATTTATTTATTTATTTGTTTGTTTGTTGATTGAGTGAGTGGGTGAGTGAGTGATTGAGTGAGTGGGTGAGTGAGTGATTGACTGAGTGGGTGAGTGAGTGATTAAGTGAGTGGGTGAGTGAGTGATTAAGTGAGTGGGTGAGTGAGTGAGCAAATTTCTTGGCGTCTCAGTCTGTGGCTATTTGATGCAGAAAATTTAAATAAATTAAAACTATGATATAAATAAAATAAAAGTTCATTACGTTTAAAACCAAAATTACAATAAAATAAAATAATATTCAAATCACAAGCGGCTGGATACCACTATTGCAGTTAAAAATTTAAAATGTCCATCATCAGGCGCTGAGCTTCTTCCGCTGAGCACCATTGAGAAGGAGAAACCATCCATCCCCCTGCCGGCACTCAGCCACAAAACGACTCCCCAAGACCATATGACTGAGACACTACCAGCAAGTGTCTCACAGTCAGTGGTCCTCTGGCCATAAGGAAACTGTGGGCGAGGTGGTTTGTGTCTAAGGGCAGTCTCACAGCGGCGGGAATATATTTGCCACAATCTCCCGCAGTTCATTGGCGACAGGCAAACACTAGTTCCACTGCAGCTGCCAGGAGGTCCGGACGACTGACCTGACATCTGTGTGAGGGAGGGAGCACAAAGGGGCATAACGAGAGGCAGCAGACTTGGCCACCTCATCAGCTCTCTCATTACCTCGCATAGAGACTTGGACGGGAAGCCAACACAAATCCATATTAAAGCCCCGTCGACAGAGCACCACGAGCCAGTTAAAAATATCTAAATCCAGATGGTGGGTGAGACTGAAACACTCCAGAGAAGCCATGCTGCTCTGGAGTCACTAAAAATAGTCAAACCCCCTACATCCTGACATTATAGGTGCTAATTCTTTTAAGGACCAGACGTAGAGCCGAGTGGTCCGCGGTAAAAATAGATGCAAAGGCGGGAAGTCCCTCACTGTAGCTAAAATCAGGAAAGACGACTCCAGGAGCTTAGGAGGAGTGAGATTATGTCATGTGAGAGAGATTATATTAAAGATTAGAGACATTGACAGTAACTAGACACACACTGGAGGGTTAGACAGCTACCAGACAGACAGACAGACAGACAGAAACAGAAGCCTAAGTAAGTCTTCAGTTAGTCTTTGATATCGTCTGATCTATGTTACCCCCACTACCACTCACCCTCACCATCACACCCTCACCATCACTCACTCTCACCATCACACCCTCACCATCACACCCTCACCATCACTCACCCTCACCATCACACCCACACCATCACACCCTCACCATCACACCCACACCATCACACCCTCACCATCACTCACACCACACCATCACACCCTCACCATCACACCACCATCACACCCCTCACCATCACACACCATCACACACCACTCACCCACACCATCACACCCACACCATCACATCCTCACCGTCACTCACCCACACCATCACACCCACACCATCACACCTCACACATCACACCCACACCATCACTCACCCACACCATCACACCCACACCATCACACCCTCACCATCACTCACCCACACCATCACTCACCCACACCATCACACCCACACCATCACACCCACACCATCACACCCACACCATCACACCCTCACCATCACTCACCCTCACCATCACACCCTCACCATCACATCCTCACCATCACCCACCTCTACTCTCGAGCTTGTAGGTGACATAATCTGGGAAGTGATCACCAATATTCTTACGACCACTGACAACCTTCTCCCTCAGGATGTCTTGTTTGTTCAGGAAGACAATGAATCCACAGTTCTTGAGAAACCTGTAACGGGGGCGAGTGAAAGATTAACAGTGTATTTTGGTGTAAGATAACATTAAAAGGTGATATAATGGTGTAGAATTATATAACAGTGGAGTGTCACACCTTCTGGCAGCACCTGGAGGACCTACCTGGAGTGCCACACCTGGAGGACCTACCTGGAGTGCCACACGCTCTGGAAAATGTCGATGGACTCCTGAAGGCGGTTGGTCTCTTCGTCCTCCCGGATGACGAGGTCGAAGCAGCTGGCGGACACGAGGAATAACACCGCCTGGATCCCGTCGAATACCTGCAGGTGGGTTAGGTCAGGTCAGGTCAGGTTAAGTTAAGTTAGGTTAGGTTAGGTTTGATAGGAATTCATCACCGTCTTCACTTTCACCTCACCTTCATCCGCCTCCTCCTCTCCCATTGCCTCCCTCCTTTCACCATTCTACCACCAACCCCCCTCCGTCCTTCAACTCCCTCCATCACAACTATCCCTCCTCCTCCACCTCTTCCACCCCTCCACCACAACCTCAACCCCTCCTCCACCCCTCTTCCACCCTCTACCCCTCTTTCACCCTCCTCCACCTCTTCTACCCTCTTCCACCTCTTCACCCCCTCCACCTCTTCCACCTCCTTTTCTTCCACCCCCACCCCTCTTCACTCCACCCCCTTCCATCCTGTCCACCCCCTTCCCTCTCTCCCACCCCTCTACTACCTCATCTTGGTGAAGGCGACACCAAACACAACGTCATGGTGATAATCCAGTCGAGATAAAACAAGATAGAGGAACCTTGTGAGCCAGACAGCACCAGGGCGTCGCGTGGCTCACAGAAAACAAAGCCGATAGCTGTTATCTGCTCTGGGGACCCGCTGATATGGCTCCCTCGCTCGCACACCTTCTCCTGGAGTATCGAACACATCTTCTAAAGGATCGAACACATCTTTTGAAATGTCACTATACGAACACATCCCTTAAGACGCCCCTATATACGAACACATCCTTTAAGACGCCCCTATATACGAACACATCCCTTAAGACGCCCCTATATACGAACACATCCCTTAAGACGCCCCTATATACGATCCATCCCTTAAAGACGCCCCTATGATCGCCCTTAAGACGTCCCTATATACGATCACATCCCTTAAGACGTCCCTATATACGAACACATCCCTTAAGACGCCCTATATACGAACACATCCCTTAAAAGACGCCCTATATACGAACACATCCTTTAAGACGCCCTATATACGAACACATCCCTTAAGACACGTCCTATATACGATCCATCCCTTTAAAAGACGCCCTATATACGATCATCCCTTGGGCACTTTCATACGATCACATCCCTTAAGACGTCCTATATACGATCACATCCCTTAAGACGTCCCTATATGCGAATCCATCATAGACGCCCTATATACGAACACATCCTTTAAAAGACGCCCCTATATACGAACACATCGCACAAGACGTCCTATATACGATCACATCCCTTAAGACGCCCCTATATACGAACACATCCCTTCAAGACGTCCTATATACGATCACATCCTTTAAGACGTCCTATATACGATCACATCCTTTAAGACGCCCTATATACGAACACATCCCTTTAAGACGCCCCTATATACGAACACATCCTTTAAGACGCCCCTATATACGATCACATCCTTTAAGACGCCCCTATATACGAACACATCCTTTAAGACGCCCCTATATACGATCACATCCTTTAAGACGTCCCTATATACGATCACATCCCTTAAGACGTCCCTATATACGATCACATCCCTTAAGACGTCCCTATATACGATCACATCCTTTAACGCCCTATATACGAACACATCCTTTAAGACGTCCCTATATACGAACACATCCTTTAAGACGCCCTATATACGAACACATCCCCTTAGACGCCCCTATATACGAACACATCCCTGACGTCCCTATATACGATCACATCCTTAAGACGCCCTATACGAACACATCCTTAAGACGCCCTATATGAACACATCCTTTAAGACGTCTATATCAACACATCCCTTTAAGACGTCCTATAACGATCACATCCTTAAGACCCCCCTATATACGAACACATCCTTTAAGACGCCCCTATATACGAACACATCTTAAGACGCCCTATATACGAACACATCCTTTAAGACGCCCCTATATACGAACACATCCTTAAGACGCCCCTATATACGAACACATCCCTAAGACGCCCCTATATACGAACACATCTTAAGACGCCCTATATACGATCACATCCTTTAAGACGTCCCTATATACGATCACATCCCTTAAGACGTCCCTATATACGATCACATCCCTTAAGACGTCCCTATATACGATCACATCCTCCAGAATAACATAAATTTTTCTCCTATTCCTTCACATCGACCAAAATACACACATCAGCAACATCATCATCTAACCCATCCTAACCTAACCTAACCTACCAAACCTAACCTAACCTAACCCACAGTTGGGGTAAAGAAACGCTGATAGAAGAAGAAGAATGGAGAAGGAGAAGTGTAAAGGTGGTGAGTGTTAGAAGCGAGAGAGAGGAATTGGGAAATAAAACTAATAGAAATTATCTCTCTAATCTCTCTGCACAAACACGCACACACGCACACACACACACACACACACACACACACACACACAGAGGGAAAACAGGTGACCCAGACTGACAGCTACATAGATAGATAGATAGATGATGGATAGATAGTTGATAGAATAGATAATTAAATGGTTGGAATAGAGATGAAAAAACAATGTTTGAATATTGAAATAAAAGACGTGATGAATAAACCAATCAGCGTCGCGGAAGCTTATGACGTCATAATGTAAACATAATCTGTGGCTTAAAACGAGTCAAAATTATTACCTTTGTACAGTGTTTTGCCTTTATTAAGACTATAGTTGTTGTTGTTGTTACTGTTGTTGGTGTTGTTGTTGGTGTTGTTGTTGTTGTTGTTGTTGTTGTTGTTTGTTGTTGTTGTTGTTATTTATTTATTTATTGTTGTTGTTGTTGTTATTTATTTATTTATTATTGTTAGTATTGTTAATTATTTATTTATTTATTTATTTATTTATTTATTTATTTATTGTTATTTATTTATTATGTTATTTATTTATTTATTGTTATTGTTATTTATTTATTGTATATTATTTTATTATTATTTATTGTTATTTATTGTTATTTATTATTGTTATTATTGTTATTATTTATTTATTTATTATTTATTGTTATTGTATATTTATTTATTTATTATTTATTATTTATTTATTTATTTATTGTTATTGTTAGTATTTATTGTTATATTTATTTATTTATTTATTTATTATTGTTGTTGTTGTTGTTGTTTGTTATTGTTATTATTGTTGTTTGTTGTTATTTTGTTGTTTTGTTATTTATTTGTTGTTGTTATTTGTTATTTGTTGTTTTATTTGTTGTTGTTGTTGTTGTTGTTATTTGTTGTTATTTGTTATTTGTATTGTTGTTGTTATTATTGTTGTTGTTGTTGTTGTTGTTGTTGTTATTTATTTATTTGTTTTGTTGTTATTTGTTTTGTTTATTTATTTATTTATGTTATTTGTTGTTGTTGTTGTTATTATTTATTGTTGATTATTTATTTATTATTTATTTATTTATTTATTGTTGTTGTTATTTATTTATTTTGTTATTTATTTATTTATTTATTTATTTATTTATTTATTGTTATTGTTATTTATGTTGTTATTATTGTTAGTGTTATTTATTTATTGTTGTTGTATTTGTTTTATTTGTTGTTATTTATTTTTGATGTTGTTGTTAGTGTTGTTGTTGTTGTTGTTGATTGTTGTTGTTGTTGTTGTTAGTGTTGTTGTTGTTGTTGTTGTTGTTATTTGTTATTTGTTGTTGTTATTTATTTGTTTATTTTATTTGTTGTTGTTGTTGTTATTTATTATTTATTTATTTATTTATTTATTTTGTTGGTGTTGTTGTTGATTATTGTTATTTATTTATTTGTTGTTGTTGTTATTTTTTGTTGTTGTTGTTGTTGTTGTTGTTATTTTTATTGTTATTTATTTGTTATTTATTTGTTGTTGTTATTATTTAGTGTTTATTGTTTATTTATTTAGTGTTATTTATTGTTATTTATTTATTTATTTATTTGTTGTTGTTGTTGTTATTATTTGTTGTTGTTGATTATTTATTTTATTTATTTGTTGTTGTATTGTTGTTGTTGTTGTTGTTGTTTTGTTGTTGTGTTGTTGTTGTTGTTGTTGTTGTTGTTGTTATTTATTTATTTTGTTGTTATTTATTTGTTGTTGTTGTTGTTGTTTGTTATTTATTTGTTGTTATTTGTTGTCGTTGTTATTATTGTTGCTATTATTATTATTATTGTTGTTGTTATTTGTTGTTGTTGTTTATTTGTTGTTGTTGTTGGTGTTTGTTGTTGTTGTTGTTGTTGTTGTTGTTGTTGTTGTTGTTGTTGTTGTTGTTTATTGTTGTTGTTGTTGTTGTTGGTGTTGTTGTTGTTGGATTGTTGTTATTTGTGTTATTTATTTATTTGGTGTTGTTGTTTATTTATTTGTTGTTGTTGTTGTTGTTGTTGTTGTTTATTTGTTGTTGTTGTTTTTGTTGTTGTTATTTGTTGGTGTTGTTGTTATTTGTTGTATTTGTTGTTGTTGTTGTGTTGTTGTTGTTGTTGTTTGTTGTTATTTGTTGTTGTTGTTGTTGTTGTTGTTGTTGTTGTTGTTGTTGTTGTTGTTGTTGTAGTTGTTGTTGTTTGTTGTTATTTGTTTATTTATTTGTTGTTGTTATTGTTTATTGTCGTTGTTATTATTATTTATTTATTATTGTTATTTGTTATTTGTAGTTGTTGTTATTGTTATTTGTGTTTATTTGTTGTTGTTGTTATTTTATTTGTTGTTGTTGTTATTTGTTATTTTTGTTGATTATTTATTTATTTGTTGTTGTTGTTGTTGTTGTTGTTGTTGTTGTTATTGTTGTTATTTATTTGTTTGTTATTTATTTATTGTTGTTGTTATTTATTTATTTATTGTTTTTGTTGTTTATTTGTCGTTGTTATTATTATTTATTATTATTATTATTGTTTTTGTTATGTTTATTATTGTTGTATATAATTTATCAGATACCCTTAAGCTGTCCCCAGATAGTAAAAGTGAGTCAGAAACAAGCGTGTATAGAGCTACCGGCACTGTTTCTAAATATTAAGTTAGGTTTGTTTAGGTTGGTTTGGTTAGGTTAGGTTGGGTTAGGTTAGGTTAGGTTTTAATTCCAAGAAAAGTGCTTAAGTAATTTGGTTGGAGACGCCGTCAGTAGGTTAGTCAGTCAGTGAATCGATGTTAGTTACGTATAGAGGCTGTATGGCCCAACTTCTTCCCTTCTTCCCCTTCCTTCTTCCTCCTCCCTTTTCCTTCTTCCTTTTCCCTTCCCCTCTCACCCCTTCCTCTCATCCCCCTTCCCCTCTCACCCCTTCCCCTCTCCCCCCCTCCCCCTCTCCTTTCCCCTCTCCCCCCTTCCCCTCTCACCTTCCTCTCACCCTTCCTCTACCCCCTTCCCCTCTCACCTTCACCTCTCACCCTGGTGTGGTCGTGTGGTGGTGGTAGTAAAGGTTAACTGTTCCAATAATGTTATCTCTGTGACGTCATATCTCTGTGACGTCATATCCAAGGTCAGCTGATTCGTCAAAACAAAAGACGATAAACAAAAAATTTTACCCAAAAAACTTAGAAATAAAAAAATATAATAATAAAAATAAACTCATTATGTTTAATCTCCTAATTAGGAATTTTTTAGAATAAATTAACGAGAAAAAAATTAATTATGAGATATAACACAAAATGGCACCGAAAATACTATAAACTTCACTATTACGTTCGTTTTTGTCTCGTTTCAGGATATAATTTACGTAAGATTTTCTAGATTAGGTTAGGTTAAGGTTAGGTTAAGTTTTTGTCCCCCAGGTTAGGTCATGATGATCCTTGTGGACTTAACCTCACAGGTATTATGTCTAGTACTGTGTGTGTGTTGTCTATTTATCATTAACCTTTAAGGAGTAGTGTTTCATTTAAGTGTTTTATCCTGGTTAACGTCAGACAATCATATAAATACACGTAAAGATGTAACATAATTTTTCCTCAGCCAATCGTGATTTATGGCTGATGGCTGTTACTCATTTTCTTAAGTATATTTTTCCTACATAATTTTCGATATATATTAATTCGACTGTTTTCCTCCTGTTCTAAAACCATTTGTAATATTGTAATTTTTATTTAGACGAATATAATCCTTCTTTATTTTATATTTATTATTTTTAAAAGTAAATTTTATCCTTGAAATTTCAAACTAATACCATGATATAATAATACTCTAATACTAAATTCTATCAAAGCTATTTCCTGTATTAAAACCCCTCCGGTGAATCAGACTAAACTAATCTAATCTATAAGTTCAATTAGGTCAGTTTAGATAACAAGTTAACTCTCAGTATAGGAATAAAATTACTTGTAAAAAAAAAATCTCCCTGTGTGACGTAAAGCTGACCTATGACGTCATAGTTGGGATCAGCTGGGGACAGTGGTAAAATGACAAAGGTAATTAATTTAGCTTATAACCTTAATTTCCTTATTCAGTTTTCTCAAAGTTGTTTAATGAATTCTTTTATAATCAGATACAATAGTGTAGTTGATTTTTTAAGAGAACTTAGTTTACTGGGCTGTTCGTTAATCGTAAGAATAAACTAGTTCGCAAATTACTTGATCGGGTTCGTTCTTTTAATATATACCCTTGTGCTCTTAAGATAAAAATATGTGTTGATTTATTATTACATTTCTTTATTTACGTATTTATCGATTTATCAACTTATTTACTATTACTAGGTAAAAATTCTCCAAGTTCCAACAATTTCTCTTAGGTATATTTCATTCGCAAAATCTTAGTAGTAAATTTTGTTGTTGTAAAAGTAATAGTAGTAGTAGTAGTAGCAGTAGTAGTAGTAGTAACGTCGGGAATAAAAAAGTAGACGTAGCGGTAGAAAAGCAGCGTTGGGTAGATACAGTAGCGAAGACGTGGGTTTGGGTCTCGGATAAAGACGCTGTACAGTATATAGGAGTGAAAATCATATTCATATATAAAAGTGATTCTCGTCCTTATGGTTCTCGTCTTGCTCTGTTGTATAGCACAATAATACCCCCATCTTAAGCCCTTGACCTCTTACCGGGATCTTCTTAACTCTCTCTCTCTCTTCCTTCCCCCTCACCCCTCACCTCTCACCCCTCACCCCACACCCACACCCCTCACCCCTCACCCCACCCACCTCACCCCCTCACCCCTCCCCTCACCCCCCCTCACCCTCACCCCTCACCCCTCACCCCACACCCCACCCCTCACCCTCACCCCTCACCCCCACCCCTCACCCCACACCCCTCACCCCCCCCTCACCCCTCACCCCTCACCCCCCCCCACCCCACCCCCCCCTCACCCCCACACCCCACACCCCACCCCTCCCCCCCACCCCTCACCCCACACCCCTCACCCCCCCCCCACCTCACCCCCACACCCCCTCACCCCCCCCCACACCCCTCCACCCCTCACCCCCCACCCCCTCCCACCCCTCCACCCCTCTCCCCTCCCCCCCACCCCTCACCCCACACCCCACCCCTCACCCCTCACCCCCACCCCTCACCCCACCCCTCCCACCCCTCCCCACCCCTCACCCCACCCCTCCCCCACCCCTCACCCCCCCCCACCTCCCCACCCCTCACCCCTCCCACCCCCACCCCTCACCCCACCCCACACCCCTCACCCCCACCCCTCACCCCTCACCCCTCACCCCACCCCACCCCTCACCCCCTCACCCCTCACACCCTCCTCCCTCACCCCCACACCCCACCTCAACCCTCACCTCACCCCTCACCCCACCCCACCCCTCACCCCTCCACCCCCTCACCTCCCCCACACCCCTACCCCACCCCACCCCTCACCCCTCACCCCACCCCTCACCCCTCCCCACCCCTCACCCCACCCCTCACCCCCCCTCCCCCTCACCTCACCTCCCACCCCTCACCCCTCACCCCACCCCCTCACCCCACACCCCCACACCCCTCACCCACACCCCTCACCCCACCCCCACCCCTCACCCCACCCCACACCCCTCAACCCCTCACCCCTCCCCCTCACCCCCCCACCCCCCCCTCCCCCTCCCCCTCCACCCCACACCCACACCCCTCACCCCCACACCCCTCACCCCTCACCCCTCCCCCCACACCCCCTCACCCCCTCACCCCCTCACCCCACCCCCACCCCCTCACCCCCCCACCCTCACCCCTCCCCACCCCCCTCCCCACACCCCTCACCCCTCACCCCCTCACCCCACACCCCTCACCCCTCACCCCTCACCTCACCCCACACCCCTCACCCCCACACCCCTCACCCCAACACCCCTCACCCCTCACCCCACCCCACCCCCTCACCCTCACCCCTCACCCCACACCCCTCACCCCCTCACCCCACACCCCCACACCCCTCAACCTCACCCCTCACCCCTCACCCCACACCCCTCACCCCTCACCCCTCACCCCCACCACACCCCACCCCTCACCCCCCCACCCCTCACCCCTCACCCCCACCCCACCCCTCCCCCTCACCCCTCCCCCCACCCCCACCCCTCACCCCCACCCCCCACCCCTTCACCCCTCACCCCTCACCCCTCACCCCACCCCTCACCCCTCACCCTCTCACCCCCACACCCTCCCCCTCCCCCCTCACCCCTCCACCCCACCCCACCCCTCCCCACCCCTCACCCCCACCCCCACCCCTCACCCCTCACCCCTCACCCCCTCACCCCTCACCTGTATCCACTTCTTCCTCTCTCCTCTCTGGCCACCAACGTCAAACATCCAGAAGTTAAGTGATCCGCCTCCATACCTCTTCGGTACCTTGACCTCGAACTCAATCTTCTGTATATCTGTGGTCCTCCGCCTGCTGTGTAGAATATCCTGTAGGAGGAGGTCAAGAGGTCAACTTAGGTCACAGAAGGTCATATTTGGAGAGATTCATATAGGGGGGGAGGAGTCATTATTGTTGTTTTTAGGGGTCAGAAAAGGTCATTGTTGGATGGGTTCATGTTAGGGGTCACGAAAGGTCATTTTTTGCGGGATGTAGACAGTATGAGGTCACAGATGGTTTTGTTATGGGTGTTTATACATAGTTATATACATAGTTATACGTTAAAATGTATGATAATTATGGTGATGTTATTTTGGTTGATATACGGAAGAATAATACTTTACAATATATACTGTACATAATTATATAAATACTCATGAACACAGTCTAATATATTGGCTTGTTCACTCACTCACTCACTCACTCGCCTGAATCACTCACTCACCTGAATCACTCCACTCACCTTAATCACTCACCACCTTAATCACTCACTCACCAGAATTACTCACCACCTGAATCACCACTCACCTTAATCACTCACTCACCTGAATCACTCACTCACCTGAATCACTCACTCACCTGAATCACTCACCACCTGAATCACCACTCACCTGAATCACCTCACTCACCTAATCACCACTCGCCTTAATCACTCACTCACCTTAATCACCACTCACCTTAATCACTCACCACCTTAATCACCACTCACCTTAATCACTCACTCACTCACCAGAATTACTCACTCAATCACTCACTCACCTGAATCACCACTGCCTTAATCACCACTCACCTTAATCACTCACTCACCTGAATCACTCACTCACCTGAATCACTCCACCACCTTAATCACCACCACCTTAATCACTCACCACCACCAGAATTACTCACTCAATCACCACCACCTGAATCACTCCACTCACCTTAATCACCTCACTCACCTTAATCACTCACTACCTTAATCACTCACTCACTCACCAGAATTACTCACTAATCACTCACTCACCTGAATCACTCACTCACCTTAATCACTCACCACTACCAGAATTACTCATCAATCACTCACTCACCTTAATCACTCACTCACCTTAATCACTCACTCACTCACCAGAATTACTCACTAATCACCACTACCTTAATCACCATCACCTTAATCACTCACCACCACCAGAATTACTCACTCAATCACTCACCTGAATCGTGGGTTCGTAGTTAATCTGTCTCACTTCCTCCACTCGATCCAGGAAGCTGAAGAAGACGAGAAAATATAGACAGACAGGCAGACAGACAGACAGGCAGACAGACAGACAGATAGACAGACAGACAGACAGACAGGCAGACAGGCAGACAGACAGACAGACAGACAGACAGGCAGACAGACAGACAGACAGGCAGACAGACAGACAGACAGACAGACAGGCAGACAGACAGACAGACAGGCAGACAGACAGACAGACAGACAGACAGACAGACAGAGTATAACGTTCATCCATACATACATACACACGTACACAGCATAGATTCCCAGAGGATCGTAAGATATTTTTTTTTTCCTTAATTATAGAGAATTATTTTAATTTGGTACACTCAGGATGTTAAAAAATGACGTTTTATTTACCATGAGACTATTTTAATTAAGTCTGTGGTTTGTGTTATTGTTTTGAGGGTTTTTTTTTAAACGAATAAGAATCCTCTAGAGCCCCCTCACCTCCTCCCCTCCCCTCTCCTCCTCCCATCCCCCTTCCCCCCCCCCCCACCACAGGGTACACAACAAGAGCCTGGTTCATCACTCATCATATTGTTATGGTAATCAGTGTATCGTGTAAACAGCTAGCCTTTGTTAACTCTCTCTCTCTCTCTCTCTCTAACTGAATGTCAATTAATCGTCCGTTATGGAGGTCTCTTAACTCACAATTACGGGAGAGAAAAAGTTATAATAGTATTTAATCCTCTTATTTAATCCACTTATTTAATCCACTTATATAATCCACTTATCTCTGGGGTTAAAATTAGACCATGTAAATCCAGCCCAGATAGTGGAGTTCCGTGAGAGTTTGAGTCACCATATGTCCCTCTCGCCAGGTGAATATTGTCTCAGTTACTTGGTGAATAAAAAAAACGTAACTTTACTAATTTGTTAACGTTAAATATCCCTAAAATAGCGTCATAATTAAAATTGAGACTCTACCTTCACTGCTTCACAACTGATCTCAGAGTTATACATAATATAATCCCTCATAGACACTAGACTTCACCCGATTTTAAGACATTATGTATATTTCACTTAGACTTACTATTTGGTACAGTCTATTAGCTGAAACCTGTGTTGTTGTGAATATACTTCCTGGATCCCTGCGTCTCTCCATAGCCGTAACGTGTGGTCATAGAACTCCTGTGTAAAAAAGAAATCGAGTGAAAACAGCAATTGAAGATAAAACAAACAACAGAATATGGACAATTGACTCCTCTTTCCAAGGTACCAGACATCAGAATGGTAATTAAACAGTCATTTGTTTTCATTAAAGTACTAGATACTAATTAGCCAATCACAGACACTGACTAAGTCTTCAAAAAATCAACAGAAACTAATTAACCAATCACAAACTTGGACTAGATTCCTAAAAGGGCACCAAATACCAATCAACCAATCACAAACTGAATACCAATCAACCAATCACAAACATGGACTAGATTCCTAAAAGGGCACCAAATACCAATCAACCAATCACAAACACTGACTAGTTTTGAAATATCTAACATAAACCAATCAACAACTGAAACAAACATTAACCTAACTCACCGTCCCCACAGTCCTCTCTAACTGAACACCTAAACCTGGAAGCATAAATCATAAACTATCTGACAAAAAAAAACCTTTCAAGACCATAGGTTTAGGTTATACGACTTAAGATTCTCAAAGGATCAGAAGTTTATAATATTTTGGTAACCCCGAACTCAAGATGGTGTCATTAGCGATGTAGGAGTGACAAGGTGGAGCTATTAATGGAGTCGAAATTGCATTAGAACTCTGTCGTGAGGAGATAGAGAGGTGATGTAACGTTATCTCAGACTAATGATGTTTACAGTATGGCAGGATGGAAGGCAGGATGGAGGACAGGGAGGATGGAGGTCAGGGAGGAGGGCAGGATGGAGGGTTACTTATTACAGATAACTCCCACCTAGCTCCTCTCTCTCTCTCTCTCTCTCTCTCTCTCTCAGGTATCTAATTAAGGGTGAACTTTAACATGCTCACCTGGGAGAGTCTCTGGCCAGGTAAACAGCCTAGGTGCCGTCATCAGCAGGTGTGTGTGTGTGTGTGTGTGGTTCAGGTACAGGTGGTGGTGGTGGTGGTAGTGATAGTAGTGGTGGTAATGGTGGTAGTAGTAGTTGTGGTTGTGGTGGTGGTGATAGTGGTAAGGGTGATAATAATGGTGGTAGTGGTGGTGGTGGGTGGTGATGTGGTGGTGGGGTAATAATGGTGGTAGTGGTGGTGGTGGGGTGATGTGTGGTGGTGGTGGTGGTAGGTATGGTGGTGGTGGTGGTGGTGGCGGTGATGGTTGGTGGGGTGATATGGTGGTGGTGGTGGTGGTAGGTGGTGGTGGTGGTGGAGTGGTGGTGGTGGTTGGTGATGGTGGTGTGGTGGTGGTGGTGGTGGTGGCAGTGTGGTGGTAGGAAAGTGTCTAGTCTTTTACTCAGGAGGTGTGCAGTGTGGGGTCAAGGTCCACACTCCTCACCCTCTGTCTCCTTCCTCTCTCCCTCAACCTTCTCCCCTTCCTTACCCTCCTCCCTCATCCACCCTTCCTCATCCACTACCTCAATCCTTCCCTCACAATACCTCACCCAACCACCTCCCCTCCCATCCTCCTCCTCCACCCTCCCCCTCTCCTCTCCCCTCTCTCACCTTACCCCCCTCACCCCCTCTCCTCACTCAGGAATGGAAAGTCCTCAGGATCGATGCTAAGGACATAATCCTTGGAGGGCAGTTATCGCCGCTGGCTAGCAATCCCGAGCTCATCTAAGTTCCTGGTGAGGTGGTAATGCCCTCTAGGATGTTGCAGCGGTCCTGTGCCTCTCCTTCTTCTCTCTGTAGGATGGTGGTGGGTGTAGGATGGTGGTGGGTGTGGGATGGTGGGTGAGGATGGTGGGGGTGTGGGATGGTGGTGGTGTAGGATGGTAGGGGTGTAGGATGGTGGTGGGTGTGGGATGGTGGGGGGTGTGGGATGGTGGTGGGTGTGGGATGGTAGGGGTGTAGGATGGTAGGGGTGTGGGATGGTGGGCAGGATGGTGGTGGGTGTGGGATGGTGGGGTGTAGGATGGTGGGTGTGGAAGTGGTGGGTGTGGGATGGTGGGGTGTGTGGGGAATGGTGGGATGAGGTGGGGGTGTGGGATGGTGGTGTAGGATGGTAGGGTGTAGGATGGTGGGGTGTGGGATGGTGGGGTGTAGGATGGTGGGGTGTAGAGTGGTGGTGGTGTGGGATGGTGGGGGTGAGGGATGGCATGGGTGTAGGATGGTGGTGGGTGTAGGATGGTGGGGTGTGGGATGTGGTGGGTGTAGGATGGGTTGGGTGTGGGATGGTGGTGGGTGTGGGATGGTAGGGGTGTGGGATGGTGGGGTGTGTGTGGGATGGTGGGGTGTGGGATGGTGGTGGGTGTGGGATGGGTAGGGGTGTGGGATGGTGGGTGGGTGGGATGGGTGGGGTGTGGGATGGTGGGGGTGTGGGATGGTGGTGGGTGTGGGATGGTGGGGGTGTAGGATGGTGGGGATGGAGGATGGTGGTTGTGGGATGGTAGGGGTGTAGGATGGTGGTGGGTGTGGATGGTGGGGGTGTGGGATGGTGGGGTTAGGATGGGTGGGGTGTGGGATGGTGGGGTGTGGGATGATGTGAGGTTAGGATGGTGGGTGTGGGATGGTGGGTTGTGGGATGGGGTGTGGGATGGTGGTGGGGTGTAGATGGTGGGGTGTGGGATGGTGGTGGGTGGGATGGTGGGGTGCAGGATGGTGGGGATGGTGGTGTGGGATGCAGGGATGGTTGGGGTTGTGGGATGGTGGTGGGTGTGGGATATGGTGCAGGGTGTAGGATGGTGGTGGGTGTGGGATGGTGGGGTGTAGGATGGTAGAGTGTGGGGATGGTGGGGTGTAGGATGGTGGGGTGTAGGATGATGGTGGTGGGGTGTTGGGGGTTGGGATGGTGGGTGTGGGATGGTGAGGGTAGATTGTGGGATGGTGGGGTGTGGGATTGGTGGTGGGTGTGGGATGGGGTGGGATGGGGTGTAGGATGGTGGGGTGTGGGATGGTTGGGTGCAGGATGGGGTGTGGGATGGTGGGTGTGGGATGGTGGGTGGGATGTGGGGGTGGGATGGTTGGGGTGGGATGGTGGGGTGGGATGGTGGGGTGTGGGATGATGGTTGGTGTGGGGATGGGTAGGGGTGTGGGATGGTGGGGTGTAGGATGGTGGTGGGTGTGGGATGGTAGGGGTGTAGGATGGTGGTGGGTGTCAGGATGGTGGGGTGTGGGATGGTGGGGTGTAGGATGGTGGTGGGTGTGGGATGGGGTATGTGGTGGGGGTGGGATGGTGGTGGGTGTGGGATGTGGTGGGGTGTGGAATGGTGGGGTGTGGGGATGGTGGGGTGTGGGATGGTGGGGTGTGTGGGATGGTGGGGTGTGGGATGGTGGGTGGGTGTGGGATGGTGGGGTGTGGGATGGGGTGTGGGATGATGGTGGGTGTGGGATGGTGGGGGTGGGATGGTGGGGTGTGGGATGGTGGTGGGTGGGATGGTGGGGTGTAGGATGGTGGGGTGGGATGGGGTGGGATGTAGGATGGTGAGTGGTGTAGGATGGTGGGTGTAGGATGGTGGTGGGGTGTAGGATGGTGGGTGTAGAGATGGTGGGGTGTGGGATGGTGGGGTGGGATGGGTGGGGATGGGATGGTGGGTGTGGGGTGTAGGATGGTGGTGGGTGTGGGATGGTGGGTGTAGGATGGTTGGGGTGGTGGGATGGTGGGGGTGTAGGATGGTGGGGTGTAGGATGGTGGGGTGTAGGATGGTGGGGTGGGATGGTGTGGGATGGTAAATTTTGTGATTATTATTATTATTATTTTTATTATTAATATTGGTACAATGTGTAGTAGTTAGTAGTAGTAGTAGTAGTATCATTTATTTTTTCGTTACCATTATTATTATTATTATTATTATTATTTACTCTACTTGGCTGATCAAAGTTATGGTAATGATTGGTTTAACTATTCATTCCTATTGGAGGAAATGGTCGTCTCATTAGCCAGACTACGATATCGACATAATCCGATTCGACCCATAATCTGCCACTTTGACCCGATTTCACTCGTAATCTTACACGCTGATAAATCATGACCTGCAGATTTTACCCTCAATTCCAGGTTAGTTTTTTTTTTATATTACAAAATGTTTAATAAATATTGCTGAAATTCACTAAGGGGGGGAAGGGGTTCATTCGGGTCGAGAGGACAGGTAACACAATAATGACATAGGATGCATCACTTACTCAGGTGAGAAGCCACTGATGTGTAAAATCTTCATCTGTTTGATAATGGTGGTCTTGCCTGACTCTCCTGCACCTATGGGAAGGAAGGAAGGAAGGATGGTTTAAAAGTCCCTCCAACACATATCAGGTAACAACACTCCTGATGTAACGTGTAACTTGTCGTAAATGTGTTAGAATACATGACCAGACACATGTTGGTTACATATATAATGGTACACATATATAACACATGATGGAAAGTATATAGTAAAGTAAAACACACACACACATGCGCGCGCACACAGATAACAGCAAGTATTTGTGGCCATAACTACATCAAAAGAGATTACTGTTTACGGCGATACAATAGACTGTTTAAATCCCCTGCTATATACTACATTATTGTGCTCTGTAAGATTGCTCTGTAGGAAGGCTCTGTAAACAAACTCTATAAGACTGCTCTGTAAGACTGCTCGGTAGGAAGGCTCTGTAAACAAACTCTATAAGACTGCTCTGTAAGACTGCTCGGTAAGACTGCTCTGTAGGAAGGCTCTGTAAACAAACTCTATAAGACTGCTCTGTAGGTGAATATCAAAGCTAAAAAGAAAAAAATACAGGATCCTGAGATGGCAACAGGAGTGAGCTGCTAGGAGTGTCCATCATAAGCTGTGAGTTGGAGTTGCTTATCTTACTATATACTTACACACGCACTTAGGAAAATTAATATATGTTTTTTAGACGTTAATGAATGTGACACCGTGGGGAGAGGGTGTAGGTGGGGGGTACAATTAAGGGTGTACAGGTGTATGTGGCAGGTATTCATTAGGTAGTACTCGTAAATAAGTTTCAGCTACGTAGAGTATTGAATATAAACTTTATTAACCTCACCTACTTGACCAAACTTATTGTGACCTAGTTTAACTTGACCTAAACTAACCTGAGTTACGTTTTAATTTACCCTAACCTATCATCTTAACCTAACCTAACCTAAGCTAAACTAACCTAAGTTACGTTCTAATTTACCCTAGCCTATCATCTTAACCTAACCTAACCTAACCTAACCTAACTTAACCTCGCAAAATTTGTTGGATGAAAAAGTAAGTGTCCGAATTCCCTATCAACCAATCACAGTATAACATGGACGGTACTGACCAATCACAGCAATGACACTGAGACTTGGACCCTATCAACCAATAACAGTGACGCATAGACGGTATTGGCCAATCACAGTGATACATGGACCCTATCAACCAATAACAGTGACGTATGGACGGTATTGACCAATCATAGGGACACCTGCTTTTCGAAATTTTGTATCTATTGTATTTTAAAGTGAGCAAAAGTTCTTTATTTACAACAAAATATATTAATTTATCTCTCACCACCACTTTGGATCAACTCCCCAAACTTCTTCAGTATTATGTATTACCGTAAAAGAATACAGGTTACGTGTGTGTGTGTGTGTGTGTACTTAGGCCTCAGTGACGGCTTACCCACTCAGTAAATAATATGGTGTGTGCGTATTAACACTTGTCTGGTGAGCTTACTGGTAGTCTATACTGAACCGATATATGTGTGTAAATGGTCGCTTTAAATCAAGTACTGGACTGTTACACACACACACATACACCAGGAAACTTGGTGATAATTCGTAATCTACCTAACTATACCTATCTCGACCACACGTATCTATGCTAACTACCTAATCTCAGTTTAATTAACGTTAATGCAGTTACATGTACGACACAGAACGATTAAAATGATTCCTGAACTATGTCATCTCGATAACTCAAGTAAGCTGAGGGCCTTAGGACTTCAGACATGGCACAAAAGGGCAGATTCCAAGTTATTCAGGGAAGCTAATAACTAAACGGACTTTGAAGAGCTACAGAAAAATCGCTGTCAACTTCAGGAATGGTTGAAGAAATGGCTGCTAAGATTAAGGGGTTGTATCACATGTCCCAACGGGATGAAGAAACTGCTTTAATAGAGACCAAATGTGAAAAAGACCCGGGTGTGTATGTTGACTACGAACTGAAGCTCTCGGGCCATTGTGAGAAGAAGGTGAATTAAGCAACTAAGCTAGTGAGATGCTTCCCCGCCTGGAGTACTGTCAACCCACCTGATCCCCGAGATATGCTAAGGACTGTCAGTTGATTGAAAATGTCCAAAGTAGGGCCACCACGCACCTTAGCTACCCCGAGAGATTAGAGCGCCTGCAACTGCCTAGCCATAGAGTATAATATAGACAGGCAAGGGGTGACTTAATTGAAGTCTATAAACATCTCAGAGGACACTAGACAGTCGAGTGACCATACCTGGAGCTAGCATACACCCGCCCCACTATGTCACAGCTGTTTCAAGACCAGACTTGACCAACACTAGTGCAGGGGCCAGTGCATGCCTTTAACCTGACCTTAACAGCCTTTAACCTGTCCTAAAGTTCTTAATATATAAGTTACAATAGTTTTGGTAGGGTTAGGTTAGGCTGTAGAAATAACGGTTTCACCATCTTGTTTACAGTAGATCATTTTGTTTAGAATCTACACGTCACAGGGTCGGGCCACCTAGAAGAGTTCTAGGTGGCCTTGGTCGGGCCCTCTACTGTATGTGTCGGTGAGAACAGTGTGTCGGCACAACACCCGGGCAACACAATCGATGGAGGACTCTGGGCTGTGTTGACAGTCGGCATATTCACTCCCTCGAGTGCTTAGAGCTGGGAAGAGGAGGAAGCCGAGTGGACAGAACTCCTGGAAATTCTTATAAGTTTCCCACTCTTCTCCGTCAACGGGGGGGGAGAATTTCCTCTTCATCAGTAGAAAATTTTCCAAACTCTTTGTTTTAAAGATGATATTTGTCTTCTTGCCGTGAAAAAAAAATATGTATTATCTGCTGGGGTTAAAATAATTTGTTGATATATATTTTATGTTAGTAATTATCTAACAGTAATATTAATGCCTAAAATAATACTTTACGTTTCGATAAGTTTTATGTCTTATATATGTTAGTGTTTATCTTTATTACCCGTTATGCCTGTCTGTGTGTAGCTTTATCTTACCTACAGTACGTCTGTTTTCACGTGAGATATTTTTTTAATGTTTGGAGATTGAAATGAACCTTTACGTGTTTAGATAACTATACAATATCGAATTCTGAAATGAAAATCGTAGGAGAAAATGGAAAAAAAAATATTTGTTTCAAAAGTGATGCCTTTGTCACTAATGGAGAAAATCCTTAAAATATTATTTAATATTGTGGAACATTACTTATAATCTTTTTAACTTGAGAAGATATATATACTTAAAATATTCATTCTTTTAAAATAAAATAAAAACATAATCCACAACATTTTAAATACTATTGAATAAAAACCCACAAAAATTTAATTCCCTTAAAATAAATCCTCAAAACTTACACGATAAAAAAAATCCTTTAAAATCGGACTCACCTAATAACAAAATTTTGATAGCTTTCGTGTACTCCTTCATCCATGTAGAAATCTTCTTCTCCAGCTCTTTACTCTGTCTCCTCCCGTGATCTACACCACAGAACACCATTGTGGGATCTGAAAGAGCCAGCTTGGATATACTTGCACAGCTACTTCCAAAAAATATTTCCTCGTAACTTGATGTAACAGAATTAGTTGGATAATTTTTCTTCAATCACAAAAGAGGAGTTTTTATATAAGTTCTTCACTATAAATTCACTGATCCACAAATTAGTTGTTGTTTTTTCGAGATATGAGGGCATTAGTTGATTTTCTTATTAGCACAGTTGAAGTTTAACGCAGCGCACCTTAGCAGGAGCGAGGGAGGTCTAGTGCTCTCACCACCTCCAGCCATACACGGCGGCCTCAGGCGATGCCACTCACCTCACTACCGCAACCACCACCGTGACCTCCACCACACACTCCTCAGTCCTCGTTATCGCCATAGATTATCTCCTCACTCTGAAAACATCGGATTTACAATCAAATTTTTCTCGAAGTATTCACGGCTGATATACTGTAAAGTAGCGGTGTTGATGTGCTATAACTTGAATAAAGTCGTTCGCTTTACGATAACAGCAACTGCAGTTTTAAAGCATTTTCGCTTAATAAACATTTGCTCTATCAGAACTTCAACATTGGATAATAGGTCAATATGTAAGGCAAATTATAAAGCTTGGCTGCCCTTCATATCCGGTTAGGTTGAGTGTGAATGTCTTGATAAGAACGATAAGGTGTACTGGTCCAGCTTGAGCTGTCAGTTCACACGTGATAAGGTTACGTCTAATGTCACCGATAAGTGATAAGAATATGTAAGAATAGTTGCCTTGGTAGGCTGACGTGTAGGAGTTCGTTTTTTTTTTTAAATATCGAATAGTAGTATGAGTTCATATTCTTGGTTTATTTATCCCTTATAAGTTATTATTATTATTATTATTATTATTAGTAGTAGTAGTAGTAGTAGTAGTAGTAGTAGTAGATTGCTGCCACCGAACATCAAAACTCAGTTAAGCTCACGGCAGCCCTCACTGACCACATAATAGCTCAGAATGCAACAGGTGAGGTGGATACCAGTGAAGTAAACAAGATTCAACGGTCCATTACGACAGCACGGCCAAAGTGATAAGTTGCAGCAACTGTTGCTGCAAGTACCAGAGAATTTGAAAAAAAAAAAGTCGCTGTAACGCAGGAGGCAGGCGCCTCGAACTGGTTAACTACGTTACCGATAAAGACAAATGGTTTCAGTCTCAATAAACAAGAATTTACAGATGCCATTGCTCTAAGGTACGGTTGGCCAGTAGAAGGTTTGCCCTCCCAATGCGTGTGTGGCTCTTCCTATGACGTCGATCACGCCATGGTCTGCAAGAAGGGGGGCTTCATATGCATGAGGCATGACGAGGTAAGGGATCTCACAGCAAATATGTTGAAGGAAATCTGCCGGGATGTCAGGGTAGAACCGACCCTCCTTCCCTTGGACGGTGAGAATTTCCAATATAGGACTTCAAACACATCTAACGAAGCCCGTGTTGACGTCAGTGCTCGAGGATTCTGGACCCGGGGACAGCGAGCCTTCTTCGACATCAGGATTTTTTATCCCATGGCCGCATGTCACCGTAACCTAGCTCTCGATGCTGCACCGTGGAGGAACGAGAACGACAAGATAAGGGCATATGGGGAGAGAATTCAGAACGTTGATCAAGGCAGCTTCACTCCCCTAGTGTTCACAACCTCTGGTGGGATGGGACCAAGTGCAAGATGCTTCTACGCCAGACTCGCGGAAGTGCTACCTACCCGAACAGAAGCAGCAGCCCAGAAGTTATGTTACAGCCTGGATGAGATGTCGACTGTCCTCTCTCCTAAAGTCTGCTTTGCTCTGCCTCAGGGGAACAAGAGCATCGGCCCCAAAGCCGACAACAGCTGCAGATATTGACTATGAGGCAACAACCACTGAATGCCCCATAGATCTGCGGCTCAACTAACTCAACACAGCGAGGATAGCTACTTATGTATTAGGATATTTAATTTCAAGGTAATAAAATGGCGGCGAAGGTGTGGCTATCGGGGGAGGCTGGAGGCTACGTTAAAAATAAAAATAAAGTAGTAGTAGTAGTAGTATAATCATCATTTTTATTATAACATCAACATCACGTTTATTGAATCAATTAAGTTCAGTCGAAGATAAACGTAACACCGTCCTGATAATGAGTAATAATGTACTTGAAGCTTTATTTGGAAATACGTTAATTAATGAACATCTTTAACCCACACACCTCTTGTAATTTAAATATACTCATAATCAATAAGATTTTGTTTAGGTATAGAGAACAGATTCTCAAAGGTTCTTAAGGAAATTTATTCCTTTGACTTGTAAGACCGAATAGTACGGCGTCACAATGGCGTTCGCATACACAGTAACTACAAATATAAATTATGACCGAGGACATAATGATCACAATAATAAGAGATTCAAAGAGCGCAAACACCTTATCTTAACTAAATCTCATTTCCATTTTCACTGAGAGGAACGTTGTTGCTTTCCTCTTGTTATTTCTCGTCGTGAATAAGTCAACACACAAAGTTGGTACGATGAATATTCCTAAAGATGTCACTGGTTCACTTAAAACAACAAAAATAATATTAAAAAATAACTCAAATTTATACTAACCTTAACTATATACGTCCATTTAACATTAGACAAAAAATAATAACAATGTGAGTGTTTCTCCAATTATCTTTTATTTTCTAAGAGTTGCTTAGTGAATATAGATGAGGTAACGAGTCCTTGAACGTAATGTTTGTAATGCAATGTAAGTGAACCAATAAGGTACTGTACATTATTATACCTTCACTTACGAGAAATATTCAACGTGTAAACTTACTTGGCGATTTTACAGAATAAACATCTATTTATCTCTCTATCCAACAGCCACCAGGCTAGTTAGAGTTACACATACCCCACCCAGCCTAATATACCCAACAATGTTATAGAAGATTCATGTTTATAGATAGTTATTTGTTCAGTAACGCCTTCATAAAAAATCACATAATCTAGGTTGCAAATTATGAATAATTTGCTTAGACGCCTCTGTGTGTGTGTGTGTGTGTGTGTGTGTGTGTGTTTGTGTTCCAAGAAAACATCAGGAAAGTCCGTACATTTCTCCAAAACGCAATTTAAGAGCATCCACGTCATGCAGATGGGTTTGCAATTCAATCCTGGGCCGATTTATTGTTGAATAAAGTGCGTGAGAACTTCCAGCTGGGCGAGAGAACTTCCAGCTGGGCGAGAGAACTTCCAGCTGGGCGAGAGAACTTCCAGCTGGGCATAAGAACTTTCAGCTGGGTGTGAAAACTTTCAGCTGGGCATGAGAACTTCCAGCTGGGCGTGAGAACTTCCAGCTGGGCGTGAGAACTTCCAGCTGGGCGAGAGAACTTCCAGCTGGGCGAGAGAACTTCCAGCTGGGCGAGAGAACTTCCAGCTGGGCGTGAGAACTTCCAGCTGGGCATAAGAACTTTCAGCTGGGTGTGAAAACTTCCAGCTGGGCGTGAGAACCTCCGGGTACATCGTTCTCTTGGTAGTTATTTGTCTAAATGACTTCTCGAATTCTGGAGACCTAGAGATTTAACTGTTTATTTACCTGCCGTAAATCACCTCCCTTGTGTATATGTTGGGCTCAGAAATCGAAAAGCGACCACAACGTTTTTCGATTTCTGAGCCCAACATGTATATGGATCACCAGAAGATTTCTCCCTCTTTCAGCTTATTTTACTGGATGTTAAACACCCTAATGCTACCCAAGGGGGGGTTAAGGTAGGTTAACGTTGGGCTGGTTAATCTTATGGTGGAATAAGCAGGGGCTATTCTTCGGGTGAAAATACAATTATGTATTACTGCAGGATATCGGATGTACTAGGGTAGACAGTTTAAACTTTTCTATCAAAAGCAGCAAATGTTTGCAGTACCTGTAAAATTGGACTATATCTGAACCATTTTTAATATCAAATCATATTTTCAAACAGTAAGATAATTAATGGGTTAGAAACGTGTAGTAGTGAGGGCGGAAGAATTTGTCCGGATTGATGACTTAATATTCCCTTATCGCTCTGACTTTGAAATTTATTATACTAGTTAATAGAAACGTTGTCCGAAGGGAGAGTTCTGCCCACTACGTTATATCCCGAATAATGTAAACAGAGCCACCGGAAATGGTAGATACATGAAAGAATGACAAATTACTCGTACAGTAATTAAACTGCGTGAGATTCCTGCTTTAGTTTTTGGTGTCAGGGCGTAGGAGATCATTTTGACCCCAAGTGGTACACCCAGTATCTAATCCAAACCAAATTAATTATTGTTATTAAAACCAACTGTTGAAAAATGACCATCATATACCAATAGTTTACAGCAATTATAAAATTTCAAGAAAGATGTGGAAACTGTAACATGGGATAACGAGATACGACAACCATAAACATATTGAGGGATGTTACATAAATCAGCTGAAATGAACTACAGTATAACGCTATGTATAAAGGAGATCCATATATATTTTTTTAATCATAATATATTCACACAATTTGGAATATCAGTTTAGTGTTAAAATTCAAATAAGAAGCAAAATGATCAATACAATCAGAGTGACAGGAGGATCAGCTGACGGGGTAACAGAGGCAAAGCGACCCAGTGTTGTTGTGGTGCCAGCAAGTGGTGGTTCACGTCCCTCGCTCCTGCTAATTTCTGCTTGTTAAAGATTCTCCAAGACTGAGGAAGATTATCAAAACATGGAATCAACCGTATGTAGTCTTTTCTAGTTATTATCTTCAAAATTAATAAGTAAATAGGCTTTAGTAAGAAGGAATAAGTATTTAGTGATCGGCTGACACACTGCTACTCTGAAGGAGGGTCAGAACTATTAACACTCAGTATGTGGCAGTGGCTGTCCTTTTGTGTAGATTGTAGTAAGTGAATTAATTTTAATTGAGAAGTAATCTACTGTGGACTTTGTATATAGTTATCAGCTGACAATGCAGTTTATTAGTGGAAAACATAGGCAGAAGCAGCATCTTGTTAACCTCGTATTGGGTAGTTAGTTAGTGGAAATCGTAAGCACAGATGTCATTGAGTGCAGCTTTGGATGTGTTCATAGCTGGAATTAATTTATCCAATGTATTATACAAATATAAGTTGCTTCTTAATTTCTCATAATTAGGCAACGAAACTATCAAAAATAGGAGTTATTATTTTAGGTTAAGTAGTCTCCACTGCTACAAGCATCTCAGATAGGGGCAAGGGCTGTACTTGACAATTGTGTTACATAATCATCTGAAAAACAACTCCAAATTTTGTTCCAATATTTTTGACATTCATATCTTTTCTTACTGCAGGATTAACAAGTTGTTTTCATTTAAACTGTTGTGTCCTCAGAGTGGCTTAATATTAAGATTATCTACTATATTGAAAACACAGCCGTACAATAACTGGCTGCCTCATTAAGTTCCCCTTGTGTAAGATTTACCACTGATGCCTTGCTTGTTTCAATAAAGTCTACAGTTGTGGTATGGTTTAGGGTACTTCATATTATTAATGGTTTCTTTTCTCTGGGATTTCACTTATATATATTTAAGTTAATTTATTGATTGAGAATGCAGTTTCAAGCAAGTTGTGCCTGTGTTGGGTTTTAGCAGGAAGGAACTAATGACTGGTCTATACTGATGTATTTTCCCCAATTTTCCAGACGAGTAGTGGAAAAGACTATGACTATCTTATCAAGTTCCTGGCACTGGGGGACTCTGGAGTGGGTAAAACCAGTTTTCTGTACCAGTACACAGAAAATGTCTTCCAGCAGCAGTTCATCTCCACTGTCGGTATTGACTTTCGAGAAAAGCGCCTGGTCAGTCATCCTCCCTATGCATGTTGTATTTATTTATTTATTTAAAAGCAGTATACTTTGTCAATAGTGCTGTACAGTCACCTGTTGAAATTTGGGGTTGAATGATCAAGGTCAGTATCACCTGATTAAATAGAACCTGGCTTTAACATCTCTGCAGAAGTGTAATGTGTTGCTAACAGTACAGTATACTCTTGTTGCTCCATGATGTGTGCCGGTTGTTTGTTGTCTACATTTTCCTGATGAAAACACTTTCCAAGGATGAATATAGAACCATATGTAATGTATATATCCACAGAATGTTGTTTGGTTGAGATGGGAAAATATCCGATTGTCTGGCACATTGTTCCTAAGACTCTTTAACTTTCCAGATTTATCGTGGAGATGGTACAGGTCGACCACAGGGCGTTCATCTCCAGTTGTGGGATACTGCAGGGCAGGAAAAGTAGGGAGTGCCTTTTATTACTGACATGATAGTTGTGCATCTCTTCATTTACAGTTAATCATAAGTGTAATGTTTAGTTTCATTAGTACAGTAGTTTAGTATTGCATTTGTATTTTGAATGTACTGCATTATTTGATGGATTATTAATTTACATTGTTGCATGGACTTTTTTAATGAAAATATATTGTCATTTGTCAGTGCACCATATAGCAGTGTAATACAGAGCTTCATCCATCCATCACAGTGGTATCACATATCTGTGGGTTTATTGTCACATTCTTTTCCCTTGTGCTTGTACTTTCCTCTAATGGTTTTTCTTAATGTCATTCTTCTTCTATAGCTATTTTTCTTGCCAAAATCACACCTATATACACTTAGTAATATTCTTCCTTCCTTTAGTCTTGGTTTTCCTATCATACCAAATCTTTTTCATTTCTCATTCTTCATTCAGTTAACAGTGCTGCTTGCTCTTGCTTCACATTAACTTCAATAAAAAGAGATCCATTACACCTGCATGTGTTCTTGGTTTATATGCCAGTTAGAACATCAGAATGTAGGTACACGACTCCATACAACAAACCACACTATCCTGTACACCCCGTGGCCCAAATTTTTTCTTTATAGAACTTTAACAAGTGACTTGATTGACCTCTTCTTGTATTTTGCACTGTTCCCTCTCACTCAATAGCAGGTTTCTAGTTTCTTTTGCAACTGTAATTTTGTGCCAGTTCTGCCCTTATCAGTTTATCATTAGCACAGAACTGTACGTATATTGCAAAATACAGTTCAACCTCTGCACTGTTGGAGCCAAAGCAGGGTTGAGTTTTCTTTGCTTCTGAACAAAGTCATTCCTCTAATATCCCGATGCGAAATCATGAAGCAGTTTAGTGGTGCACAATTAATAAGTAGAATTTTTCTTACAAAATCACTTAATATTCACTTCTAATCATTGTACTTTGCCAGAACAACATTACAAGAGTGGAAAAAAAAAGGTGAAACAGGCTTACTTTTAGTACAAATCCACATCATCACAGAGTGAGCACCTCGCAGCTGATAACTGTTTTCTCTAGAACGCTGGCTGTGAGACCTTGAGAGGGTCCATCATCTGCTCTCCATTAACTCTAAATGTACTTTTTTCATTTGTTATTTTTTAAGGGTACAGTACCAGTTGTCCAAGATTCCTGAAAAAATGGTTTCCAAATTATTGAGGTTTTGCTGTAAATAATTTTCAATTTCACGTCCTGCCAGCACTTTCTGTGTCTACAATTTCTGGGCCATGTTATTATATTATTCTCCATCATGCACACTTTGTTTGTTTTCTTTGTTTTTCTCAATAAAATTAATTTCTTTTGCCAGCATTGTTTTAAATTAATATTAATAGAAGTCATTGCAAATTATAAGTTTGTTACAGAATGTGTTTGTCCTTATTGTTGTAGACTTAGCAGCTTGGGTAAAGATACAGTATCATGGGCTTCTTATTTTCTATTCATAGGACTGTTTCATTTTATAGCCTAAGAGTCCTCCTGGGTGACTTGCCAAATACCGCTGCTATGCACCCACCAGACAGACCCTACCATTGCCTAGGAAGGTTGCATTACTTAGTGGCAGGGATATGTATTATCCATGTAAACAATGTTAATATTTAGCATAAGCATTGTCTACCTGGATATTGTCCCTACTGTTAAGCACTGTACTTGTATATTTCTTAGGTTGTGGCTGGCTCTGCCTCTGGGTGCTTGGTGGTGGTGTTTCACAGGTCAATTGGTTTAGCCAAATTATGGGAATTCCTGCTTTATTTATTCTGCACCGTGACTTAGGTTACTGGACATAACCTCGTGTACCAGCCCATCACTGTATACCTTACACAAATATTTAATCTAATTTTAACAAAGTGCTATACATCCAACTTTTACATGCACAGGTTTTAATACATTTTCCATTGATTGTCATTTTAATAATTCATATCCCTATCTTTTCATCATTTGTTTCGTTAAGACTATTTTATTTCGTTATACATATTGTATGTGCATTTATAAGAGGATGAACTGTATCATGTGAAGGGTTTTTTGTGCATCTCACACCATATATCAAGCTCACATTGTATTCTCTGAAGATTCAAACCCAAGACTGATAGACAATCAATCCTGTGAAATAACCACCCAACCATCATCTCATCCATAAATCCAAATTTTAAGTTGCAGACCAAAATTGCACCATATTGATCTACCATTATTGTAAATTTGTCTTTGTTATTTAATCCTTTATACCAGTGGTTCCCAAACTGAGGGGGGGGGTGTGGTTATTGCAGGTGGGAGGGCATCAGGCCATGTGAGAAAAAAAATTTAAACTCAGTACCTGTATTGCTCATCTACCTCAATCCTTCATATTCTTTTCCATCCTGTCTCACCAGTCACCACACAGCTGGCTGCTTTTTACTTGGATAACATAGAAGTATTTTCTTTTCTGCTTTCTTTTGTTTTCATTTTTACAAGAATAACATGGAGGGAACATCTAGTGTGAGGGAGCATCTCAGTGGTTGATTATTTTTCTTGATTGGGAACTTAAAAAAAAATGTAACATCAGTTTTGAACAGTAATATAAATACGAGTACAAGGTGTAAAATTGATTAAAGAGGGAGGAGGCGTTATGTGAATAAAGTTTAGGAACCACTGCATTATACCTTCCCTTCCCCTGTGTGTAGCTGTGACTTGCAAAGTTCTCATTATTTTCACCACTCATAAATTACCATTGTACTGTACTGTACTGTACACTGTACTCTTGTGTCATACACCACTCATAGTAACACCATTACCACCCATTGCATCTCATGTGTTTGTATATACATACTGTATTTGTAACCTTCATAGTCAGATGTTGCATAACTTCGACTGACAAGAAAATAATCTTTTATATCTATTACAGGTTTTCTGTTCTTCAGATTTAGGTTTAAATATACCAAGTTATTATCCAAATGGTTACAAATATTCAGTGGCTTATTTTGTTCACAGCATGAAGTTGTCAGACTTACACACAACATACATGAACTTGACGAGCAAGAGATATAGTTTACGTACATATTTGGTGTTGCTGTGCTTGTGATATCACTAATTTGTAATTTATTACTAGGCATTCTGTACTTTAGTCAATATATTTACCTTTTGTGAGGTTTGCTAGAATTTTTACTCTTGGTCCTCTGTATATATGAAGATAGTTTTATTTAGCCATATACCATATGATGTGCATGTATTTTCAACATAACATTGCACAAATAATTTTGCTTTTGCAAGTATTAAGTAATTTAGCACTTTACATAATGAGATGTATTTTTATTATTGCTTGGTTTCACATTAACCCATATGTCATAGAAATATGTGATGTAAAGGGGTTTGTTTGTGTTATTGGAATTTCTGTAATATTTTTAAGGCCTTCAGGTCCTTGTGATTGATTATTGAGATACTACCACCAAACACCTTCAGGCACAGTCTACCATTGCCTAAGATGTGTGCAGTGTTTAATGGCAGGCACACATTAACCATATGAACACTGTTCATGATGTGAGTAGCTTTCTCACCATGTTAATCCAGAATTCAATCTAGATCATAGGATGTCTCAAGAACTAGTGTGGCTTTAGGTCAAGAATTAGAAACTCCATGGAAGGTTCTCTTCATTTCAAGACCTTTCATAGGGAGTTTGCTTCAAATTTTATGGTTCATTCAGGGTGATCACATGACCACCTCCTCCCACCCTTAGGAAATTTAAAGGGTTGAAGTAAATTGAAGCCTCGCTAACCCTTGGAGGTAACCTCTGGTGCTGATTGACTGAGGGAGAAGAGAATGAGGTTTGCAGCATAAACATTGTTAACATAATTATATAACGTGTCCCAGTTGCTAATCATTGCAAACTTCTTAGGCATTGGCAGCCTATGTCCAGGAGAGTTTAGTGGGAATTTCTGTCTGTTCAGAAAAATAGCATCTCTCTAACATGATGATGATGATGATAGTTCTCTTGTCATGGTTGTACATTAATCTCATCATCACATATTTCTCTGAAGAGTTGGAGTACTCTATAGTACTACATCCAACACAAGTATAGTTTAATGTTTTTGCTTACTAACATGCACCATCATTTTTGTAGGTTTCGTAGCTTAACTACAGCATTTTATCGGGATGCCATGGGCTTCCTTCTACTGTTTGATTTGACTAATGAACAGTCGTTCCTCGATATTAGAAGTTGGCTGGAGCAGCTCAAGGTAGGATTAGAGTATAATTTTATTGCTGGTTCTTGTGTGTAATAAGTAAATGCAAATGTGTTTTATGAGGAACTTCTTTGATTTTTTTTATTTAAATGGAAGATGATTGATGTTTCAGTATTGACTAGTAACATAAAAAATATCAGTATTATTTTTAAGAAACCATTATTTCTTCTTTCAGGATATTCTTCTGAATTGTCAATTGATCACTAGAGTATATTGGTTTTTTTGTACCCATGGGTTATGAAAGCCTTAAATCTCCACACTTGACTGAACCAACTCCACACTTGACTGAACCATCTCCACACTTGACTGAACCAACTCCACACTTGACTGAACCAACTCCACACTTGACTGAACCAACTCCACACTTGACTGAACCAACTCCACACTTGACTGAACCAACTCCACACTTGACCAACTCCACACTTGGCTGACCAACTCCACACTTGACTCTTTGACTGAACCATCTCCACACTTGACTGAACCAACGCCACACTTGGCTGAACCATCTCCACACTTGACTGAACCATCTCCACACTTGACTGAACCATCTCCACACTTGCTGAACCAACTCCACACTTGACTGAACCAACTCCACACTTGACTGAATCAACTCCAAACTTGACTGAGCCATCTCCACAGTTGACTGAACCAACTCCACACTTGACTGAACCAACGCCACACTTGACTGAACCAACGCCACACTTGACTGAACCATCTCCACACTTGACTGAACCATCTCCACACTTGACTGAACCATCTCCACACTTGACTGAACCAACTCCACACTTGACTGAACCAACTCCACACTTGACTGAAGCATCTTGAACCAACTCCACACTTGACTGAATCAACTCCAAACTTGACTGAGCCATCTCCACAGTTGACTGAACCAACTCCACACTTGACTGAACCAACTCCACAGTTGACTGAACCAACTCCACAGTTGACTGAACCAACTCCACACTTGACTGAACCAACTCCACAGTTGACTGAACCAACTCCACAGTTGACTGAACCAACTCCACACTTGACTGAACCAACTCCACACTTGACTGAACCAACTCCACACTTGACTGAACCAACTCCACACTTGACTGAACCAACTCCACACTTAATTTTAACTAAACATCTTTTCAGATATATATTGTCCTTAATTGTATCGGCATATATGTTCATTCCCTCCTTCCTCCCCTATGGAATATCACATGTCTTTCTCGGAAGTGCTTTTACAGGGGCTCGTCAGGTTTTGTGCAGTGTGGTTGTGCTGTGTTTGTTTACATTCAACAGAAGGAAACTCGCAATCGTAAACCGTTACTATGGAATGAAATTAAAACAAATAAGCAGTATTAAAACAAATATCTCAATGTAATGATTTTTGCAATGTTTATATGACGAGCCCTTGTAAACGCACTAGTGAAGGGAAGTGTACTTGACCAGTCAGTGTGTTGCTCCATACAGTTTCACTTTTGTATACAGACCTGACTTCAATGTGGAAATTTATCTCTGTTTTCTCCTTAACCACAATCTTTTTGGTAATCAGTTAAATACAATATAGGGGGTCCCCGTGTTACAAATGGGTTCCGTTCCTGAGGATGTTTGTAAGTCGGAATACATGCTACAGTATATGCATTCCGTATTTACAAAAGAATGTACAGTGGTCCCTCGGTTAACGAGCACAATCCGTTCCAGCAGGTTGCTCGTTAATCGAAAAACTCGTTAACCGAAACCATTGTGTCAATGGGTTTTTGGGTAATTGGTTCCAGCTCACCGAAAATTGCCTAAATTCAACAAAAAAGGTAGAAAAGTACACTTACTTTGAGGTGTGTATGTAGAAGGTTCCTGGATGATGATGATGATGGGAATTAGAATGGGGGTGGAGGAGAAGGAAGAAGAGAAGGCATTGGGGTGGAAGGGAAGTCACCCCATGGTGCCATTTCACCCATAAAATTTTAGCTCTCTTGGTGTAATTCAAGATTATTTTCTTTAAATCAACACTGCACTGCATTATATATTGTCAATATGTAAAATATATTTCAAAATGACCAATAATTTGCTTGGAAACACAGAAAAAAGCATTTAGTTGAAGAGAGTCTCAAGCAAGATGTTACCTCCACTGAAAACAGAGAGAGACTAACGCCTGTCTGGTGTGTTAACAGGCTGGATGGCACGCCAGAAACTAGTTTCTTTACCTTCAATTATGCTCAATAATTGTTAAAATGACTAAAAAAGTTAATATTAAACTTTTAAAATTATTGAATAGTATAAACTTCTTGATATTTACTAAAATAGTAAGGAATTTAAGCCCTAAAACCGATTACTGTATTGGCGGACTAATGCTACAGCTGGTGGACCGCCAAATGCAAGCAAAAACATGTTGAAGTCGGCTCGTAAAAAACTCGTTAATCGAGGGATTGCTCATTAACCAAAGTTAAGAATCTTATGGAAGGTAAGTCGTTAACCGAAATCTCGTTAACCGAGGGACCACTGTATAATATTTCACTATATAATTACCTTAGTCCTTATATATACCTAAAATCACTTAATTTAAGACAAAAGAAGAAATAGAATGACAAAATACAGTAAATGACAGTAAGAAATAACTCATCAGATTAATAAAATACTGTAATTTCAAGTTTAACCTTGTTTGTATCGACGAGCGTTTGTAAGTCGGACGTCTGTAAGTCGGAGACCCCCTTTAGTCTTCTGTGCATGTGTCTTCAATTTTTTTATCTTCTGTACAATATAAATAATAATATTTATTCAGTAAAACTTTCATTTAGGTTTTCAGGTGGATAAGCATGTTTATAAACTATGCAATTTAACAGTTCAGCTTTACCGGTAATATAGACACTCTAGGTACAGTATACAGTGCATGTAGGCCTTGGGAGTTTACAGTTTCCTGTATGTTGAGACAGTGCAGGTAAACCATGGTAAACAGTAAGGCAACTTGACCAAGGATTGCCAACAAAGCTGTCAGGTGCTTCAGGAGGGTCCATTGCGTAGGTTTATGCTTGGTCTTGTAATCAGTACACCTATATTAGTGGATGTTTATTTGATAGAATTCAACAAGCATTACATTGCACTTGGACTATCTGTGGCTGGTGGAACACTACCACAGTACTACATTCTGTGGTTTAATAATATAGAAATTCACTCTCTTCTCTTGCTGTAGCTTCATCTTTTATGTAAATCTTGGTTTTGTTTTAGCTTTCAATTGTTTAATACCATAATTGGTTTTATGGTGGTCTAGTAACTTGCTCCAGTCTGTTATAGCAGTGAAGAAGAAAGTGTTTTTTGCTTGACCACACACACCAGTTACCATAAACTTGTGTTCACCCCCTCTAGTACCCTGCTGGTTCATATCCCTAATCATTGCAATGTTTGTTGTTAGATACTTTGGGCACATTTCAGTAAAAATCCTGTCAGTGTGATTCAGCCTCAGTTGGCTTAACTTTGTCCATTACACTTTAACATGTTCAGTGTCTGAAGAACTTTGTGACTAGCATGATTTCTTGGGTTCATATCACGAATGAACCTCACCCCCCTTGTTTTGAATAATTTGTAGCTTGGATTTTAGCTGCTGTGTTAAGGCATAGTACAGTACAAATGGCGAGCAGGAATAGTTCAAGTGACATTGTATGAGCACTATGCAAAGGGTCCTATGGACATTAAGCATTTCTGTAGATAAATTGTATTTTGGCATTACTTTTTTTATCTATATTATCTGCAATTAATTCACCAGACAAACCACAGTTAAGAGGTTGTCAGGTATTTCACTGAAGTTACAGTAAAGATATCTAGGTGTAAGCAATATCTTGAAAACTAAATGTAACACAATAAAACAAAGGTGACCTGAACAGTCATAATTAGGAATTTTATCATGATACTGTATTGAATGATTAGGGTTGATAGTTTAGAGTGGGATAGATTGTAACCTTGGTCTGCAGAGGGTTATTGTGTTATGATTTTACAATCCTCTTCAGAACAACCAGGAGGGTACAATGAGGTTGTGTAAGTAGAAATATTTCATAAGAATAAAGAAATTGTACACAAGACTGAGTCTTTTAACATATGCAGTACTGTACAGTATACTGTATTTCAATATGCCATACTCTTAACAAAATAGTCTCAAATACTTTTTTTTTAAACTTAATTGTCCATTTCCAGACCCATGCATACTGTGAAAATCCCGACATAATTCTATGTGGGAATAAAGTGGACATGGCAGATCAACGAGTGGTGTCAGAGCAGCGAGCTAAAGAGGTTTCTGAGAAGTTTGGGTAAGTTTATCATCTGTTGAAGCATGGTTTCTCTTTTCTTCCCTGAGGTTTCCTTTTTATTTTTTCTTGGGGAATAAAGTTTTGTCTAGCGCCCAGCATAAAAGTATCTTTTAGCAACAACAATGGAAAGATTGGATCACCTGAAGATAAGCCCCTCCCAGCTTATTTTACCTGATGATTAAATACTGTATGTAAATGCTACCCAAGGAGGTTAGGGTAGCATAAGGTGGTAAATCTACGGGTGGAATAAGCTGGGGTGGCAAATCTTTAGGTGATCCAAAAACTTGAACCTTTTCATTAAGGTTCATTAGTTCTTTGAGATGGGATTGCTGTTGATAGTAGTAGTGCTGTAGAAAGGATGTATCTCTCAACACTGGGAAATCATTTATAAATTTTTGGTGGGGAGGTCCAATAGTTCATGAAGTTTGCACTATGCATACAGGAAGGGATTACTGGTAGTGGTTGATTCATTTTTGGATATGTAATGTTTTAAATTTCCTGTATTGTGGTTGTTTCCAAACACTACAGAGCCACTAACTTTTGTATGTATTACAGTACTTGTTCCTTTCTCATTTTGATCCTTGGATGTCAATCTTCGCCATCAAAGTTTTCAGAAAAAATTAAATTCACTTTTGATGTTGCGCACAGATTCCAATATATCGAGACTTCTGCTGCAACAGGACAAAATGTTGAAAATGCTGTGAATCACCTGCTCAATGCTGTTATGAAACGTATGGAGGTGGCAGTAGATTCTAGTCGCCTGCCAGGAAGGAGGGGCCGCTCGAAGGGATTCCTTATGAACGAAGATGACGAGGCTGAGGAAGGAGGCAGTCAGTGCTCCTGCTAATTCACTGACAAAGGTCTGACAGCATGATTTCAAATCAGGTACTTATCAAACTAGTCATTTGGGTTTCATCTCAGTTTCAAGATGCTTCTTAGTTTTAGAATTCATAAACAGTACAGTACATGTAATTAGATTATCCTTAGTGATAAATAATTTGTTACTACAAATGTATCATGTTTAAAAAAAAAAAATTTGGGGTAAGATTGAAGATCTTCGTGTTTTTAATTTGACAATGTGTTTAGGGTTATTCGTGCATATACGTAATCACATACCGGGTAAGTGCACATGCAGAGGGAACGATATGTATACAGTATATATATATATATATATATATATATACTGTATTTAAATATGCCTTAGTGCACTCACAAGTGCTTCCAAGAGTCAAAATACACAGCCACTTAAAATGGTGTATTATTAAGGGTTTCACCTCACCACAGTAATATTTTCTTAGCCTGTTTATACAACATCATGTTCTACTTTATTGGAGTATAGTACAGGTACAGTACTATATTTGACCATGTGCCTGGCTCTTAAAGATTAGTATTGTGAGCAGTTTTAATTTCCATACAAGACCACTGTAGTTTATGATTTATAGATCTGTACATGTCACCGGTTTTTATACAGTATCACGCACTTGTCAAGACAACTGTGGCTGGCATTGATAATTTATTCCCTCACGTGAGTGTAGTTAGTGTCTGCCTTCATGGTGAGGTACTGTACTCTTCGTCTGGATCCTAATCAAAATTACAAAAGTTCATTCAATGAAGAGAATTGGTGTGCCCAGACTAGAATTTGAGTAACCCAGCATATTATAAACATTTAAAGATTTATTAATATATATGGATGTAAGAAACAGGAAGAAAAGTTATAGGTGGATTCAATTGGTAAAACAGAATACCTTCAAGGTCAAAGTTAGTTGTCAGATGAGAAAATTTGCCAGGCATCATAATAACTATCACACAGCCATCCATATTTACTCCGGGTGATTTTCACTTCTGCATTTGTACCATCCCTTTACTGGTCCATATATACCATTCCTTAACTAGTTCATATATCGACTTTTTTTTTTCCATTTATACCATTTCACTATTGGTCCATTGAACCATCCTTATGTATGGTCATACTTTATTATATCTTCTGTCTCCATATTGCTCATGCCATCCACCTCTTAACTTCATTAATCTCGGTTTCATACCGTACTTTTTTTGTTCTTCTTGTTAAGGATATTATTTAATTTGGTTGCATTATTATCTCGATAGTTTAGTTTGATCTTTTCTGCTGCCTTGCTTATTGTCATACTGTATACTGTAAGCAAGGTGGCATACAGAGAATATTTTCCTAAGATCTGTCTAAATACATTCCATTACCAAAAACCATCAGCAGTGTTCTGTGAATGAACTAAAAATTGTATTTACTCAAATTTCTTTAACATAGGGAAACTGTGAGAGTTAAACATTTCAACAACAGAGATGTACAGATTGTGTCTTTAGTTAGCAGTGAAGGACTTACTGTTGTGTCGAGACCTACACATTGCCGATGCTTTGAGGAATATAAATAATGTAATAGGAAAGTGTGACAAATTTCCTGAAAGGTGATTTAGAACCCATACTGTAGAACAAATCTTGTATATGTTGTAGGGGCAACTAAGCAGGTGTAAGGGGTTGCAGGCTGAATGAAACCTAACCTGATTATATCATTAGATTGAGACCAGGAGTTACTTTGTTCCATGTCCCAGTAGTCATGCTAGGCTGAAGCCCATTTCAGGAGTTATCATATGAGGGAGTTGGAAGCACCCTAGCCCGAGTACAAATGTGTGACCTCGTTAAGTCTAGAATGGAAGGTTAAAAAAGAAACTTGAGAAAAAGAGTTAGTATCAGTTTGGTACAATATTGAAATAATTTTTGAGATTGACAATATAATTAGAGATAGATGCAGAGTAGAATTATAAATTATAAAGCTAAGATAGTAAATAATGTATTTTATTAAACATTTGGATGCAAAGGTGTTATGGGGATGTGGAAAGAATGATAAGGATTTCAAATAGATCTGTTGAAGAGTGTTCAAAGAAATAATGCATTATCTTGGGTAACTATATAGCTATTTCTTAATAACAGTACGGTAATCCCTGGATAGTACATTTTAATAATGATACAATTTAGTTAATATGTAAAAAAAATGAGTACTGTATTACACATGTGATTGTTCATGTACAGTTTAAAACTCATGTTCCAGGCTAGTTTACTGTTGACTCGGAGAACAGGACAGAAAATTGAAACCCCTTGGATTCATTAGTGTAACTTTGTTTTTAGTTCCCACCTGGTGCTGTTTTGTAGTGGTTTATTACACACTGTATATTATGTCCTGTACCCCCTCCTCCCATACCTACCACCCAGTTCCTTGTACCCCCTCCCCCCCCCCTTTTTTTTTAATAACGTGGCCTCCAGCCTCCCCCAATAGCCACACCTTCACTGCCATTTTATTACCTTAATATTAAATATTCTAATACATAAGTAGCTATCCTGTGTATGTTGAATTAGTTGAGCCGCAGATCTATGCGGCATTCAGTGACTGTAGCCTCATAGTCAATATCTGCAGCTGTTCCTTGTACACCCAGCTCCTTGTACCCCCACCTACCACCCAGCTACCCCCACCTACCACCCAGCTCCTTGTACCCCCACCTACCACCCAGCTCCTTGTACCCCACCTACCACCCACCCAGCCCCACCTACCACCCAGCTCCTTGTACCCCCAGCCTACCACCCAGCTCCTTGTACCCCACCACCACCCAGCTCCTTGTACCCCCACCTACCACCCAGCTCCTTGACCCCATCTACCACCCAGCCTTGTACCCCATCTACCACCCAGCTCCTTGTACCCCCATCTACCATCCAGCTCCTTGTACCCCCAGCCCACCCACCCACCACCCAGCTCCTTGCACCCCACCTACCACCCAGCTCCTTGTACCCCCACCCACCACCCAGCCCTTGTACCCACCCACCACCCAGCTCCTTGTACCCACCTACCACTAGCCCCCCCCCACCCACCACCCAGCCCTTGCACCCCACCTACCACCCAGCTCCTTGTACCCCACCTACCACCCAGCCTTGTACCCCCATCTACCACCCAGCAGCTCCTTGTACCCCCATCTACCACCCAGCTCCTTACCCCCACCTACCACCCAGCTCCTTGTACCCCACCCACCACCCAGCTCCTTGTACCCCCACCTACCACCCAGCTCCTTGTACCCCCACCCACCACCCAGCTCCTTGTACCCCACCTACCACCCAGCTCCTCACCCCACCCACCACCCAGCCCTTGTACCCCCCACCCACCACCCAGCTCCTTGTACCCCCACCCCCACCTACCACCCAGCTCCTTGTACCCCCACCTACCACCCAGCTCCTTGTACCCCCATCTACCACCCAGCTTTTTGTACCCCCACCTACCACCCAGCTCCAAACCTTAAGCGAGCCCACCTCTTCATAACAATAGTAGTGTACTGTAACACAGCACTCCCTCAAAATCCCGGCCTCAGGAGGTCTTAGTACAGTAAATGAGTCCAAATAAGAACATGAGAATGGAGGAAACTGCAGTGGGCCTATTGGCCCATACTGGGCAGTCTCATTTACACACCAACCCCTATCGCTCATATATCCATCCAACCTATGTTTGAAGCTATCCAGCGTATTCGAGTTAATGATGATACATGTATTTGGTAACTTGTTTCACTACTTTATTTCCATTTTTTTTTCTATACATGTAGATTTCTTTAACTCTAATACATTTATCTTCTATTACAAGTAAAATAGACAAAAATTGGTACATTATACATTCCTTAATAGTAAGTCCATTATTATGGGGGAGTATAGGTTTTGCCCAGTGTTTCTCAAACTGGGGGTCATGGCAAGATTTTAGGGGGGCTGTGGCAGGGTAGTGTAAGTAGTATATGTTTGGAGAAAATGTGGAAACTCTGATTCAACTTTTTTTTTTGTTACTTTGCCTTGTTAGGGGAGGTTTTTTTTTTTTTTTTAATCATAAAATACCCGTACGGTACAGTTTTTATATTTACATAGTATGGTGCAGCAGCTAGTTTTTTATTTCCAACGGATTCACTCAGATTGCACGATTCTAGTTCCTGTTCAGACGAATTCCTTGATCTCAGAACGAATCTGTTGCCAGAGACCTCCATGAAGAAAAATCTCTGACTGTATTCTGGTGCTCAATGTATCAGTCATATCCAAAAGTTAGTGAGATCGCACTTCGAGTCCTCTTGCCATTTTCTACTAATTATATTTGTGAATCTCGTTTCCACCCTTTTTCAAATAGAGAATAAAAGCCGAAACCGGTAACATGTGGACCCAGACATGAGATGTGCTTTATCAGTGACTCAACCTCGAATCAGTCGACTGACTGAAAGGAAGCAATGTCATCCATCCCATTGAACTGTAACAAAATATGCATTCTGTTTGATGATTGAAAACATTAAAATAAAGGAAGAGAACCAAAACAATTTATTTTGATCATTATTTGTGAGGGGCTTGGGAGAGAAGTGAAGGGGGCCACGAGGTTGTTGAGAGTTCCTCATGGGGGGAATGAAGTGAAAAAGTTTGAAACACTGGTACTTTAGCCTTGGTCTTTAACATTATTATTATTGCATCATTTGCATAGTATTTCTTATCCCTGTTATTATTATTATTTTTTTTTTTATTATTTATTGGGCACTCCCCTACATCCTTGTGTAAGGTGAAGCGCAGAAGCGTTTACAGCACCCAACAGGGAAGCATGCTAAGTTCATGCTTGCCTTTATGTCTCATGAGTTAAGGGCGTAGAAGCCTGAAGAGTCAGTGGTTTATGTCATCAAGTTATTGGGAGCTCCAACAACTCCCTGAATCCGAATTTGCAACTTTCGACTTAAAACAGGTTCCTACTTTACTGCTAGGTGAACAGGGACTAATGGGGGCTAGGAAGCAAGTCCAAACAACTTCCACCGGCCCGGGAATCGAACCCGTGACCCCGTTATTATGTTTACAATGTAGAATAGGTGCTTCTCTTCCTCCTCTGCTTATATTATCTTCCACATTATAGAGTAGTAGAGTTTCTTGGTCTAGAAGTTCAGTCAGTGGGTGGATTTTAGTTTCATTCAAGATGCAGTTCAGAAAATCTGTAACAGCAGTGTCTCCAGGCTCCAGTTGTTA